GCCTCGCGGCAATAGGTCTCCAAGGCTTGTTGAGCAAATCCTCCGCTTCTCCGATAATCTGATTGGAGACGCAGAATTGCAAGAGATGAAGGTAGACCCATATACTTGTTTTTACAAGCGAACTGAGCCCAAATGAATACGATGATGATGCCGCCGCGAAGAGCATCTAGTAACTATATCAGAGGGTGATTTCCAGCCTAGAAGGACACCAGAATGTACCACAGGGAAAAAGATTGTTTTCAAATCTGATTTTGTGAACAAGAAGGAGGTAAGAAGGACATCCTTCATTTTTTGAGACCGGGAAATGAAGCTTGAAGCTTGAAGGGCCTAGGGCACTTAAGTTGTTGAAAAGACTCGGAAATGCAACCGAGTTGTTTCATGATCCTTGCAACATGCATCATGATTCATCCGGAAATATGGGAGAACCGTAGTGACACTATCGAATCAGTAGAGTCTCGAATGATAAGGGCCTGGTGTAGCGCCGTGATTGAAGTAGCAAATAAATTCCAAAGTTGAGATTGATGCAGCTGTCAGTTCGGCACATATTTGAACACCGGGGTCGTATTTTTGCTTCGTATCCCCTTCCGTCACACACGGATCTCGCACTACTGTCTACAGACAATCTTCCACGCACTTTCGCCGCAATTCACACGGAGAAATTCCGATGTAGCTTCCCAAGTGCATGATGTATACCTGACAAGTATCTTGGCTTCCCCTCACCTTCCGTCAGTCACGGCCTTGGCGATATTTGTGGTGCACCAAACTTACTACGAAGGGTACATCCACGATACAACTCTATATATATAGAGTAGCAGCGAATGCGACCATTTCGTACCTTGCAATCGATATCTTCTGATAGTTCTATCTCGCGGGCTTTTTTAAGCTCTGAACACATATGTTCTAGCAGAATAAATCTTTCCATCCCCACTGCAGATTTGATGGATCTCTGTCTTAGAACGGTCGAGCTACGAAAACAGCTCCTTTGAATGATGTTTGAATGCCGTGCCGAACGTCCAACCAGATTCTTTCGCCTAGAAGGCGGTCTGTCGTCTCACTTCGCTTCTCGTGGGAAAATCCCATTCGAAATCAGGAGACAGGCTGTTCAACTTGCGTCAACAGTACCATGACATCCAAAGAGGAGAAAATAATCGTAGTGTCCTGGGACGGCGACGACGACCCAGAAAATCCAAAAAAGTGAGCTCTGTTACCCACTTCTGAGCCGCTTTCATCTATATTGTGTTTGTGCAGTTGGAGCTATTCTCAAAAATGGATCGCAACTGGCCTTATATCCACATACACGATGTTGTCTCCCATTACGTCGTCCATGATTGCTCCAGCTGCTAGGGACGTGGCCAAAGATCTCGGGGCCACCAGCCACATTTTTGAACCTCTGCTAACTTCGATATTTATCTTGGCGTACGGTAAGGCCAAACACGATCTAATAGTCAAACTTATCGAAAACACACCACCCAGCCTTCGGTCCCCTATTTTTTGGCCCGGTCTCTCAGGTCTACGGCCGGTCGAGGGTGGTGCAATTGGGCAATGTGTTTTACATGAGTACTCTTCGGTTCATCAGCACTCTAAGCGCGCGCTAACTATTTTTAGTCTTCAATCTTGTCTGCGCATTTGCAAAGACTCCTAGTCAGATGCTGGCATTCCGTTTCCTGGCTGGTATTGGCGGAAGTGCGCCGCTGGCGGTGCGTATACAAGCCACAATAGGCGAGCCGTACCTAGTTAATTCTAATTAGCTCGGTGGGGGAGTCATTAACGATTGCTGGAGCGTCAAGGAACGTGGTCGGGCAGTGACTTTATATGCCCTGGCGCCTCTGTTGGGTCCAATCATTGGGCCGATTGCTGGTGCATGGATTGCCATGAAGACGACGTGGAAATGGGTTGTGAGCATCACCTTTATCCCTAGATGTTTTTTCAGTGATTATTTTTCTCCAGTTCTGGTCGACATCCATTGCTGCCGTCTTCGTCCAAGCCATCTCTTTCTTTTGGCTCAAAGAGAGTAAGCGCAGCACCGAAGAAGTTATATGTCACTCAAATTGTTGCCACTAGCTTTTGCGCCCCTTCTATTGGCTCGAAAGGCAAGGAAGCTGCAAAATGCTAGCAGTGGGGAGGATAATGTTATATATGTTACCAGCCACCAGCAGAATCCATCCAAGTACACGATGACTGACACCCGGGAATTGTTTCTGACCTGTCTTACTAGGCCTCCTGTCCACAAGCTTCTACTCTACCCGGTCGTTTTACTTCTAACCGAACCTACAGCCCAGCTACTAGGAATATATCTAGCCTATATGTAAGGTGTATGTCATCATCTGTCATAATATGCTAATTATTTCATCGGTTGTCTTCAGATACGGTAGGACATTGCAGGAGAACGTTTCTTTTAATTGCTTACTGACTCCTCTTGATTATCTAGGGCTGGTCTATCGTATGCTCTACCTTCTTACTTTCTGGGACATCTCTCTCACCGTGTTTACAGTGATACTGACGTCGATCCCTGATATATACGTCGTTGTATATCACGAGAGTATTGGAATTGCAGGATTGCATTACATCGCCTTTGGAATTGGCCTTTATAGTGGAGCGCAAATCACGAATGCGATCCTGGATGAACTGTATCTCCGTCTCAGCGCTCACTACGGGACCGAAGGCCGTCCTGAATTTCGAATTCGTAAGTGTCGTCCGTTACTATTTACATCATCGTTGCTTACGAGCAACCGTGAAGCCATTATGCTGCCCGCCACCCTGTTCGTGCCTATAGGATTGTTCATTACAGGTGCGTCAGGGCAGAAGCTTTGCACTCTGTACGACGTTATGGGGATATTTCATTTCCAGGATGGACTGTGTCAAGCGGAGTGCACTGGATTGTCCCAGATATTGTGAGTGTCTTTGCCCGTGAGAACTTCAAAAGCTTACAGCGCCCTGAGCAGGGACTTGTTATCACCGGGTGAAGATTTATTTTACTGACGGTTGTAAGAGACTGAAACCTGATTCTTATCTACAAATAGAATGGGCATCGCCGTGAACTGGCAAGCAATACAAACATATATCATCGACACCTACACCGTTCGTGCGGCACCAGGTAAGTCAATGGCCTGCACAAGTACTGATGCGGACTTGACCTATTATACAGCTCTCGGAGGGCTCTCTTTGCTTCGCTCGCTCGTCGGTTTTGCCTTGCCGTTAGCCTCTCCCAGCCTGTCAGCCATCATGATCTCTCCTGCTTCTTTTCATTACTGAGCTCCGAACATAGGTACCAGCACTTAGGTTACGGGAAAGGAAACACCATCCTGGCTAGTTGCGCTTTGGGCCTGGGATTCCCGATGTAAGTTCTCACTCCTACCAGACCTTTCTTAGATAGATAGTAACATATGGCAGGGTTTTGATTCTGTGGTTTTGGGGGACAGTTCTACGTGGCAAAAGTGCAACGGCTATCCACAATTAGGTATTGATATGGTTTCAGAATGGACTAAGATAAGTAGACACTCTCTCTTGAGGGATGAAGGGCGTATTAGCATACACGACTAGTACCTAGAATTTTAAAAGGTCATTGTTTGGACTGGCGGTGTTCGTATTATAATAAAGGCCGCGACAACTGTCCGAGAAGATCGAGCCTGAGCCTCCTGATCTGTCAACATCTTCGGAGAAATGGAGCAGACGCTTTGGGGTGTAGGTGACATACGTGAGGTTGGGAAAAAGGTACTTTGCCTCGCCGAGCTTCGGTAGCATTAGAGCCTGTCTGATGGGGCCCGAGAATAGTAGCGATATGCAATCTCACCAACCATCAGGACCCACATCATCACCATTACTCGGCGTGGTACAACTTGGACATAAACAACTAGGATGTCGTCAGAAGGACACGGGCCATCTTTTCGAGATGAAAGCTTTGGCTCATCCGCGCTGGGCGGGAGCGCTGGTGCAAAAGTAACGAGTGATTAAAAGACGGTTGCAGATTGTCCATACATTCGTCCATCAATCTGTAGATCGACATTCAGGATCATAGGAGGGTCAAAATACAAACATATTAGACGTCATAGCTTGTCATGAAAATCACATCATTTGAGAAAGGTATTGTACACTGCCATGGGTCAATCTGCCTGGGTCGTAGTCATCCCATCATCCCCTGTGTCTATAGTAGTTCCCCGAGTACGATCGGCCTGGAAACGCAAACCGGACAACTGCGAGATTGGGAGAGGATTTTCTTCCCGCCCCGTTTTGCGTAAATTTAAGATCATACGAGATATAGAGATCGATAACGCCGCTGATGTTGGACCATGAAGAACGTTGTATTTCCCCGGCTGGGGTATAAGGTTGTCAGTGCAAGCACAAGTTCGATGGAGAATACATACAGAGGCAAAACGGTATTCCAGCGCATTAGCGAGGCCAGTTGTAAGGACACTTTTGCAAGTCAGCCCGGTAAACGATGCAAAGAGGGAGCGGTACGTACACTACGAAGTACCACAACGAATCACGGACGACAAGGGAAAGTAACGACCGAGGGCCATATGTGCTCTCCATCTTAGGCACATTGAAATCATCTATGACTCTGAATGCAGCAAGGAGGAACATCACTGATTCGAAAACGGCTATGGGTATCCTTCAAGCAGAAATATTAATTCGCATAAGCCAAGCCATCCAAAAGAGGGTACTTGCCAATAGGCATATAGGATATTCAATTTACTGGTCAACCAGCAGAGATAGAAGCCAGGCACCGGTTCATTAGTCCCTATCCAGGAGAGTTTTTATCAGTATTCGTTACAGAAAGCATTCAGTAAATCTCTCAGAGCACCTGTCGCATGATGTGCCTGGATTCCCAACACCGTCGAGCTGGCGGCCACGGTGAGAATATACAAGACTATCACGGGCACTACAATGCGCTTCTTTCGACCGTATATTGCCCCAAGTCGAATTATAAGGATGATATCAGCGATGAAAACTTGTAGGGTTCCTGGGAAATTGAAATCATTATAAGTTCGATGGAAAACATGGACAAGCAATAATGATTTTAGCGTACCGTTGATGACGGTGATGTATCCGACCCATGCGAGACCTGCGATCTCCGATCGAACAATCGATCAATGAAGTCATATAATACGCACAACTATCCAAATTCCAAAGGTAAGGAATTTTATGTCTGAAACGATACAAGGTGCACGTACAACTGCGATAGGTCTTTTAGTCGTCATTCAGGATAAAAATGATGGCGGGGGGGCACTTACGTTATAAGTGGGTTTTGGAAGAAGATACCCTTGAATTCATGCCCAAAATTGAGCCTTGGGCTAATTATCGACGGATTATGCACATACCAACGACGTCAAATGTCTGTGAGAAAAGTACAAGATATCGATTCTAGACACGGATTAGCAACCTGAACTGAGCCAGTAAAGCCAAGGCGCACCACGAGAAATAGAAACTTGATCCAGGACCATCGTGATTGCTGGAAGATTCGTTCAGCATATCGGAGCAAGCATTAAGAGGCAAATGGTTTCCTACCCATATGAGAGAAATCTAAAGGTATTGTCAAGTCGATTCACGTACATGTCAATGAAGAATTTACCTCATCGTCAAGTGTGATCGCATACTCCCACCATGTCCAAGATAATGAGAAGACTGTATGAGGGTTAAATGGGACATTTGGGGTAATACAAGAGACGAAAATTCTACCTGCTGTTGTGATAGTGATTTTGTGCCAGCGATAAGCAGTCAAAAGACGTTGTATAATAGCGCTCGCTGGGTTTCCGAGGGCGTCCATGGAAGTGTAGTTCTTGTGGGATTGGCTGCCAGATGAAGGGTTTATGCCTCGGCTCTGGTTACCAGCGCGAACCAAAACTCGGGGTGATCAGATACTACCAGGTGTTTCAGGGTATCCAAAGAGTGCAGAAGTACCATCTGCCTGCGGTGCCTGGTTCATCATCAGACAGGAAGTTCCCATACACGAGAGAAAGAAAGTTCTCGAGCCAAGGTCACGGTCACGAGAAGCAATCTTTCCCTGAAACCTGGGGGAAATCAAGAGATGATTGATTGAAATCGAACCAGATCTGCATCCCAGCCCTGACAGAAAAGCCGGTCCCTCGCCGTGCTGAGTTTGAAAACCCCCTTCTAACAGTAGCAATGCGCCTCAAGAACCCCTGGCGGGAACACATTATTTCGTGACAGTCATTGACGTCCGTAAAAGTTGAATTGATCAGGCGTCGTGCTAAGGACAATCTTGGAATACCTGACGGCGAGCGCGTCCCCGCTGCTCATTTACTACTCGTTCGACAATGCTGGATTCCTCTCACCTGTTGACTATAATGATCCCACTTCTTGCTTCTGTTCTTCTTGTCTACCTTGTTACAGTTTGCTACCTTAGGTACCGGCGTCTGCATGCTGTGCAAACCAGGATCCGTGCTAGCGCTAAGGAACCTAGTCCTTCTGAAGCCCAGTCTGCTTTACAGGGAGCATTGTTGTACGACGTGCCCTTCTTTACGCGTCTTGGGGCTCAAGTTGCACTCCTCAAAACATATGGGATCGTAAGCTGCTATGCGCCCCATTTTTTTTTAGTTGTATTCATGTCGAAAGCCTTCCATCCCCGCTCTGCTTTTGAAAACTGGGGAGTTTTCCACAGAACGAAAACTTACGAAGAGGGTTACGGATATGAATGCATTTCCTGCACCTCTGGTGTCCAGAGCATTGATCACAATTTGTTAAGACGGCCTTGCTTATCTCCACTTTCATCTCTTGTCCCTTGGAGCATTCGCTAACGACAGCGGAATCAACACCGTGTCTCGGGCCGAGGGGCAATATTGCGCTTGCCCGAGTGAATTGGCTGCATAGACGCTACAACATCGTGAGCATATCTTTCGAGTGTGATCAATTGCGCTTTTTTAATTAGAACTTTCGTAGTCAAATGATGATATGTTGCATACTCTGGCTCTCTTATTTTGGAGCCCATGGTTCGCCCGGATCTGCTACCGCTACCTACGACTCATAATTTTCTCAGCGTCTAGTAGCACGCCTCGATTGGCGTCCGTACAGCCCGGAGGAAGCAAACGTAAGGCACCACCGCCACTCCACTGCCTCGTTGCGCTAATTTAAGCCGTGAAAGTGTAACTTCCTCATGTGGAAGGATATCGGTTGGCGCATGAACATCAAAGAGATCCCTGGGACTCTTGGTGAATTAGAGGATCGGAGCAGAGTAAGTCTGTTGCGTCTTTAATGAACTATCATCTCTGACTTCTATGATCAAGCAATATGAAAGCACCCATATGGTCCCGTCAGAGAGTAGTCATCAGCTGGCCAACATGGCACTGGAGTACATGAGCACCCGAGTGCCAAATATACCTGGTGCAAGATCGTTGGTCAAAGATGTGTTTATGCCTTTTGGATGATTAGCTTCGAAATGCTATGATGTGAGCGCCTTGATACTCATCATTACAGAGATCTGAGAGGCTCGGGTCTATCCAGGCTCCCTTCACCGTCAAAATATGCACAGACCTTCGTCAAGACAGCTCTGGCAGTTCGAGCCTTTATCGTCAGAAATTTCATGCTTCCTCAATTCAAACCTCAGGGATACATCGTTGTCGAGAATCCTCCATATAGCATAGACTCTGATGGTCTCATGCGTCTTCATATGGTTGTGTGAGCTTGTTTTTTTCCCTTTGCGTCATGCGGATGTAATTAAAAAAAAATTTCACAGCCGAAGGCACTATCCATGGTATTATCCTATCCCAACAGGTTGGCGCCAGATTTTTGATCGGCTGCTTGGCCTTACCAAAGGCGATCTTTATCCTGGAGCCACGTTCCAGTCGGAGGGATATCGCTTGGAGGAACTGGTTTGTTCTCTGTCATCTTCGTAGCGTTGGGCCGTGACTGATGGGCTATTGAAATTACAGGGGCCAATTAGGTTTGAGCAACGTATGTATTCTAAATTTAGGTCAACTACAGGTTTTAACAGTTCCTAGATGGACACAAAGAAGTGATGAAGGAAGCCGAAGAACTATATGGAGCACCGGTCGAGAAACCTTGGGCCCGTTGATTCTCGTATCCTTTCAAGGCCTCCTAGAACTGTTAAAACTCTTTACGGAAAGGCTTTGGTTCTTCATCACTGCTACCTCTTTTCTCTGTGTACCACAAGAAATGTTCTTGACCGTATCTCTTTTCTGTGCTTTCGCGCTTCTTATTATCCTGTATCCCAACCGTTCAGTCGGGGTGTCAGCTCGAAATAATATCCCTGGCCCAAGCGGTCTTCCCTGTATTGGCAATCTACTACAAGTTTTTCCATACAGGCGACGAATGATATCCTTCATGGAACTTTTGAACAAGGTCTACGGTCCCTTGTCAACTTTTACCATCCCAGGATGGGGTCGTCTGGTTGTGATAAACCGTCCTGAATGGCTTGCGCATGTCAAAAAGAGTATCGTCTATTCATATGAATCTACGTATATTTTATTAACGGTGGATGGCATCAGATGACATTTCAATGTACACCAGAGGACCAGTGGCCGTATCTATATTCGAGCAGTTCCCTGGGTTAGGAACGCCTGTTGCTTCCGAAGGAGAGAAATGGAGAGCCTCTCGCAAGGCCATACAGTAAGTCTCGCGCGTTTATCTCTGGCACCGACTCACCCAAACGACCACTCAGACCCATTTTTGGAGTAAAGTCCTTTCAAGACCACCTCGCTACTGCTATGAGTGATGTAAGCAGCGCTCCTTAAGATCTTTATCGACTACCAATCCTAACGACTATTCGTAAGCTTATGCCGACTACGACACGTTTTTTGGCGAACGCCGCGAAGGATCAACTTCCGTTTGACTGGAACGGTATACGATACAGTTAACTGTGTCTCCGACGACAATGACGTTCTGAACACAGACTTTTCTGGGCGCTTGGCGCTGTCAATTTTTGTCAAGAGCAACTTTAATCTCGATACAACGATGCTGCAAGAGGACCCCAAAGCCTTGACAGACTCTCATGAGCTGATTTCGTCTATCTGTGAACTCAACGAGATCTCCGCCGCGTGCGTATGTTTTTCTCTCTTGTATTGAGTCCATGCTTAATCCACACCCGCCAGGCGTTTATTCAATCCGTACTGGTACATAACTGAAAAGGTTTTGTCCTTGCATTATGACCCACTTGCGACACCGTTTTAACATGCGATGAACAGCTTGACGGAACTTGGTTCAGATTCAGAAGGACTATATCTGTCCTATGGAAAACGATCGACGGCCTCATCGAAGAACGATCAAAGTCTCTCGCTCTCGCTGGAGATGTCGACAGCCAAGAGACCGATTTCTTTTCCACCTTTCTGAAATCGCATTCAGAGACTGATCCTATCTTCACCCGGAACATAATGGTTACCCTTTTGTTCGGAGGTCGTGACAATACACAGAACAGCATCTCATGGGCGCTGTATGAATTGTCAAGGCAACCGGAGTGGCTGAACCGAATGCGGGAAGAGGCCATCGCATTGGGACAGTCGGGCCAACATCCCACTTTTGCGACATTACCGGTGTGTGCTCTCCTTGCTTCTCTAGGTGCAGACGAACTAACTTCTTGTCATCTAACACAGTCTTATGTAATCCATTTGGCGGTGTTCTACGAGACAGTTCGTCTGTGGCCTGGCCTGCCTAAGAATGCGCGATACGCCACTGTCGATGATATACTCCCAGCAGTACCTGAGCTTTCCATTCCCGAGACCAACATTGAAAAAGGAACGTATGTCCTATGGTCGGACAAAATAATCATGAGAGATCCTTTGGTGAGCCTTTGAAGCTCAATTTCACAGGGGAAATAGTCAATGACAATCATAACCTCCAGGTCTGGGGACCAGATGCAGACGAATTCAATCCCGGGAGGCACATCTCTGACGATGGAAAATTCGTCAAGCCTTCTGCTCCCGAGTTTATAACCTTCGGTGCGGGACCGCGCTATTGGTAAGTCCTCATACCTTCCTAGGACAGCCAACGATAAATCGCCCCCATCTTGTCCAGCCCTGCTGCCAGCATTGTCCCCTACGAATGGGTATTTATCTGGTCCACATTGCTCCGTCTTTTCGACTTCGAGTTTCTTGATACCTCGAAAAGAACCACTGGCGACTTCTTGACGAACCAGATGGCGGATCCGTTTATGGTACGAGTCCGCGAAAGGGAAGCGTGAGATTTTTATCTAGGAAGACTGTTTTTGCCAGTGGAGAGGAATGCAGTTACATAATGAATATATCAGTTTTACCATTGCCCCTGCTCTGGTAAGTTACTGTGTACAAATAACAATCTGTCTATGGGTCTAGTTGTATGAATTCTATGCATTCATCAACGCGTCTCGGTGGAACTTATAAAAGCGAAATCGATATCGCGGTTATAGCTCTATATGAAAGCAATGTTGATTAATGAATGGCGTTCACGAATTTTAGGTGTTTACATACGCAGTTGAGATGAACATGAAGATATCTGTTGGGCAACCGTTTTAGAACAACCAAATCCAAGCATCGAAGGAACTTACATTGGAGCAATAAGAATGCCTGTAAGGATGCGTGAGGAAGGATGACAAGAAAGCCAGTACAGAGCTCACAGATAACGTATCTAGATCATGATCCTTCGCATATAGTTGTGTGACGATGAGTTGACTATCACGAAAAGATGGTCAGCATCGCCTCTCAAAGCACTGTCGAAGCATACACTTACTTCACAGCTGACGGCGTTCCGCTTAGAAGCATAGAAACAAAACGCTGCGCAGTAGAACATCAACACCGGACACAGCCAGAGAAAAATATTTCATACTTCGACGAGAGCATCCTTAGGTATAACACCACGGTGAGTCAGCTCTTGTGTGAGAAGTATACCAAGAACCGGGAGCAAAGCCAGCTTGCAAAATGACACCCAGAACATCGCAGGCAACGGCATCTTACTGAATGGACGCGGAATCTTCATGCGTGCGAATGAAGCACCCAATAGGATCAGAGCCATAGGAACAGTGATGTTTCCGACGAACTCGGCTGCACACGAAGATAGCACGTTAGAGCAGGAAGAGAAGTCGACGAGACACATAAGGGAGGAAGGGGGGCTTGCCTGTATTGATAATGAACGCCAACGGCGGGTTCCCATCCGGACCGTGATAGTATGGACCTCCGGTAACTTCCACGAACAGCGCCTTGAGTTGCGGGATGAGCGACACTGGAATGGCAATATACATGCTCATCGTGATAGGTGTGAACAGGCTCAATATAGGTTTGGCCGTTCTTCGCACGAAAGGTGGAAAGAGCGACGCGAGACGACCGGGTTTCTCCTCCCCTTGCTCCCCTTGCTCAGATTCTTGTCTGTCCGTTACTGACGGGCTCTTCAAACTCTGTACAGCGGTATCTGGGAGCTCTTTCAAGGAAGATTGCGACGCATTTGGCGGTGGAAGCAACGAGCTGGCACGCGGACGAGTACTAATACCAGTGGAAGGCAGCCGTGGCCGAAAGGAGTTGGCGGACAACCGCGAAGCGCGGCGTGCAAGTTGTATCTCAGGGTCGGTCTCCATCTCTCCGAGGTCGCTCTCAGGTTGCTTTTCCACGGCGACTGATAGTGCCTCGTCCTTCTCTGCGTCGGCCTCTTTCTGGTCCTCAGCCTTCTCGCAGTCAGAATGCTTGCGCTGGGCAAGATGTTTTTCACGCATACGCAGGAAGAAAGCGGCTATGGGTTTTTCGCGCCAGCCGACATGGACATTCGCCGCGTCGCCTTGGGGTACACCTGGAGCGTAGTCCCATGCAAGAGTGTTGGCTGCACCACCAATCCACATGACGATGTTGTAGGCGAGAATGAAGATCGAGACATATGATACACCGACTAGATACAGAATGTTAGATACTATGTCAAAGAACATGGAAAAGCCCATACGCTCAGGGTCTGTATCAGCATTGAAGGGTTTTTCCTCCGTGACAGTAAGGACCACGGCCGTGGCTAGGGAGGTCATAGTTCATCCCAAGACAAGAAAAAGATATTTGGTGAACGTACGCAAGTTGCCCCAGTTGCTCATAGCCGTTGCCATCAAGATCCCAACCCAAAAGTTACGTGGAACATAGCAGAATTCACGGATAAGTGCGCCGCATAAGAGTCCACAAGCCATGTAGACCTGATTAAGTGGCTTAGAGTGAGCGAATGAAAAGGTAGGTGGCTAAACTCACAAAGGCGACCAAGAAAAGCGGACCCATGGCCGACACGTTTTGCGTGTTAAAGGAAGGAACGATATTCGAGAACAGCAGACCGGGTAGCGCGACATTCATCGTTACCTGTTTTCGCAATTGAAATGGAACAGTAGGGGCACTCGTTATAATATCATACCTGGGATGTTCCCCTGGACGCTGCAGCTGTGAAAAAACCCTTTCGCGTCAGCCAGAACCCGAAGAAGATGGTGAGGAACCTGTAATCAACTCTAAGCCGCAAGCATGCGCAATAATATGACACCTTACATCTTCAGCAAGGGCATCACGCCCGAATAGATGAGAAACCCCACAGAATAACCCATTTCTGCACGGTAGCAAGGGGTGGTCGTCCGTTATCGAGTTCCGTTCAGATATACCCTGTTCTGCTGCGATTTCCGAGTGCCTTCCGAGTCAGGGTGATTGTCGTAAACCAAAGCTGGCGTCCCCTCCTGTTTCTCGACGCATAGACTCGAGAAAAATCGGCGGTTAAAGGGTCAGGAGAGTGACTAGATCATGAGTTACGTGGAAGGAGTAAACAAAACGCTGCATTGCAGGCACGAGCTCGAACATGAGAAGCGCGGGAAATCTTTGAAGAAAAAACATTTGAAATCGAAAAACGAGTCGGACCGGTTCCGCCACGATAGTTTCGGCCGACATATTTCGAGTCCCCGCGTCAGTGGTTGGGCGATGTATAGATAGATTCTCTTCCGCGTCCTCACCACACCTTCTGCACACGCAAGGTTCTTTATCTTTTACCTGTACCCGCCGTCGATATTGAAAAAAGAGAAAGACTCGTTAATGGGTGCGCACGTTGCGCCACATTAATTACGAGAAGTAGAAGTCTTATTAGGTCCGTATGCTGGTTGAGGTGATTGGCGCCTCGTGACGAGCAGAACATAGTGTTAATCGATGACAAAATTTAGATTTACAATCTCACGTCTATGAAATCGATACGTACCATGGTCCTCTTGCCGATTGGTTTGTCGCCCCCATCGCGAAGCAACAAATTTCCGGGGTCGCAATGTATTCTTCCTATGACTTGAACTCGGGTTCATCATTTACGGAAGATTGACAATGTCCCCTTCCTAAATATCGGAACTCCCTGAGAAGGAAGCGACACCTCCGGACGATGACGCGATCATGAGATACTGGTTTCTCACCGTTCGGGATCTATACTGTAGGGATAAACAAGTCGGGTAAAGGGCTGCTGGCCGTGTGTATTACTGCCTTGCTGCTAAGTTTGACAAAAGACGGACATGAACCATGCAGGCCTTTCAGCCTGAAAGTTCAAGCTCATCGCTCATCGCTCCAGCAGGTGCTGGTGAAGAAAAACGAACCGTGAGTACAGGCAACAACTCTGACGACAGAGGTAAGGACGTGCGATTTCTACATAGTCAAAGGAGCTCACTCTTGTCTTCGTGAGGTACGTGTCTCGTTCGCCTCCACATATCACGTCACATTCTTCAAATAACGCATTCCAATCCGTGGTCACCTTTTTTCGGCAAAACATTATTGTCGATCTGATTTGGACTCTAGTTTTGATTTCGTCTTATTTGATGGAGGAACGGTTTTCGATTGAGAAGAGTTATTCGAAGATGCCCAACAGAACATTCGAAGCTCAGCATCTCGAAAGCAGAGGACACGAGGCCCTGCAGTTTTCTGGAAAATAGCGCTGCAGTTGACCGGTCTGCAGTGGGTGAAAAACAGGCGAGAAAGAAAAACATGATGAGTAACCGGCGATAAAGCTGTCTTTGATAGTCTATCGGTTAGTGCACGCGCCTGTTTTAGCGTTTGCACAACCAGAGTTTAAGAAGCCGGAACACGTCTTTGGCGCGAAATTGGTTTGTCTCCAATGGCTACATCTAAACCAAAACCTGAGCAGTGAGCAAGGCACTCTGGAGCTCAAACGTCAGATGCTCATTTTATTCCCACAAACACACTAGCGCCGAGTCGCGGGAAGAATAATTCGTTTACCGTGCCGCGTCCTTTCTGAGACGCTGGACTGGTAACCCTTTCCTGACTCACTGAGGAGTAAAAGCCATGCCGATATCTTCTCCCATTTCCAGTTCTCTGGTTGTATATCGGGTGCAGCAAGCCACGTGTATATATTAGGTTCGACTCCCAACCTGCGAGAATCTTTGACAATGCGCAGCGCTCTTGTTTTTAGTCAGAGTCAGGCTGGCCACTAGTACACCATCTATTTCAAGCGCTGGTGCTTCATTAAATGAACGACAATGCATCGTTTGAGCGTCGGAGTCGAGACTCGGCCCTCAACCAACGTCCCGAACGGACGATGCTGTTTCTCTAAGCACACCATCATAAACCTTATTCTTATCGCGAAAGGAGAGATTTTGTGTGGCGAGATCAAGAGACAGAACGTTTCTTCTGGATGGTGGTCTCTGTTCGTCGGTGGTATATTGGAATGTTGGGTTCGATTCCTAACCGAAGCATGGAGGGATGGATATTTTTTTTGGATAGGACAGCAATCGTCGAACTTGCTCCACACTGCCAGCACTCTGAAGCAAAACCTGGCCTTCTTTCTTTCCGCTCAACGACATGGAATCCCCAAGTCTGCCACACACTCGATTATCAGCTCTGCCACTGCCCTCTCTCTCTCTCTCTCTCTCTCTTGCAGGATCGCCTCTAAGTTATACTACCATCCTGGATGTGCGATGTATCCCGAGAGGTTTCGTATCTCTGCCTCCTTGTTCGACTCTGTATATTTTTCTCTTCCCGCCGCTCTCAACAACACACGGGAGTACCACCCCCTGTTCGAGGTTCGCTGTGCTCCGGTAGTGAATTGGTCTCGATTCCTGGCTGGAGATATGGGAAATTCTCAATCGCCCTTTTCTTTCAAGCAGAAGCTTGCTTACCTGCTTGTTCCTTTCCCGTACATTTCCTCTGTCCATAGCTGCAGGCCAAGAATCGGGAACCTGATCCCCGCATCCGTCGGCCATGCAGTCCTTGCCCTTTACGGCCCATTGGCTGAAGCTTCCTGGGAAAATTCGAACCTGGCCTCACCCCGCTGCGATTTATGTAGTGTATCGGCTACTGCGAGCAAGGAATTCGGTTCGGACACTGGCTGCAATTTGAATTTCTTGGTGTATAGCATTGGCATGAGAACTGGGTTCGACTCCCAACTAGACATTATCCAACACTACTTGAGCTGTTCGTCCTTTTCTGTATTTCGACGGAGATTCTACTCTGTCCAATCTTTGGCCAGGACAAAAATGCGGAAGGAAACAGGACTGTGCCGTAGTGATTTGCTGTGGAGTCATGGCTACGTTTGTGGCTCGAGTCCTGTCTCCCGTAGTATAAAGGTTATGCAAACGCTTCTGGGTTCGACTCCCAGGTAAGGAGATACTCAATGCATCCATTTTTGCCTGGGCGGACTCTGCACGCCTCTACTAATATGAATGTACTCCCATTTCAAGGGACTACAAGACATAGTTCTCTCCCCCAAGCCGATCCGTTTCTTGTATCCATGAAACAAAAAGACAGAAGACTTTGATGGAGAGGCGACGTCGTTGTTGCCATCATGGTAATATATACTAGAGCATTTGTCTCCCGTCGTATATCGGTTACGTGATGGGCACTGGATTCGACTTCTAGGCAAAGAGACCTCGAAGCGTTGTGGCTATCTTTTTAATTTGGGGCCATGTGGGTCGACGTACTTCCACCTTATCTCGTGGTAACACTTGAATTGCAAATCCACACCCAGGATGTTTATGTTAGCCCTCGAGACCTCGGGGAAAGGTAATTCCATTGCGCCATAGGTTATACGTTCCTTGTGCATTGGTTGTTGCGGACAGAGGGATGGGTTCGACTCCCAGCTGGAGCGATATTTCTGCGGCAACTTTGGCGTCATTTTATGGATGTAAATCCTCGCACCGATTAGAGGAAAGCTATTGCTATTGGGCTATGTAGTATCGCAACATGCTATTTTTCATTCAGGAGCTCTCTGCATGCTGGTCTAACGCGTCCACAGAATGTGATAGGTCATGTAATGAAGGCCCGCGGGGCATAAATCCACTTGACCGCGTCCTCCGCCCACTCCTCACCCTGCCCTGTCCCAAGCGCAAACACCAAACTAACGTGATTATACCCCCTGGGCGATAAACTCCTCGTACGACGTGCCTCCTGTCTTCAAAGCTCCGCCGAATTTCTCCAGAGCGGGGTGCAAACAGGGATATCCCTCTCACCAATATCGAGCAACAGCTTCGAATTCGGTACACTCGCCGAATCTAACAACGTTAATGGCACTCTCTGCTTGGTCTCAACGCCTGCACCGTAGTACAGCCCGACGGGAATTTTTTCATATCTGCTGGCATGTCCTCAAACGTGTACGGGCCGCGCCTTTGATACGGGGGTTGCAAAGTGGAAGAGTACAGCAGCTCCAGGAGGGCGAGGATGGTGAACATGTTCATCGCCCCCGCCGAATGGCCGAGGAGATAGTGTCAGAGTCGGGGAAGGACAGGTTGTCCATGACCCATTGCATTGCATCGCGCTCGCCAGGGAACTGTACACGAGAGTCGGCAAGGCGGTAGTCGGGGACGACGGTGATGAACCCGCGGGTAGTGAAGGAGCCGAGGTTGTGGTAGATGATGGACGCGGGGGCCGGGAGCGTGCGTGCACCTGTGTTGAATCCGCCACCGTATAAGAAGACGAGGATCGGGGTGTCGGGCTGAGGATTGGGAGCGTCGAAGGCATGGCGGTCTGTGGGACCATATTGGTGTGTTTCTCGCGCGGTCTTCTCGATTGACGCGCGTTCCGTTTCGAGGATGGGGAACGAACGCGTTTAGTGCTATTGAAGGGTATCATCGTTGATTTCTCTCCCTTGGATCTCTGCAAATTTCTCCATATTTTGGTGGATGCCTGCCACCAGTTCCCCTGCCTTTTGTACTGTAAGTCATCTCAAACGGTACACGGAATGCTGCTATGCGATTGGTGAGCTGCAGCCTGACTCGGTCGAAGATGAGCGAGAGGCATTACTCGCCGGCCAACATCAAACAGAAAGATGACGCGTGAGGAACAGGGAGTGTGCGAGCTTATGCTGGATGAGATTCAAGGAGAAACTGCAAATTCAAAATCGGAACTGTCACACAGCCATAACGGTCACAACCTTTCTGGTTTATCGCCGACAGGCAGTGGCAATTCTATGTGCGAAGGCGCATTTACTACCGTCGCTTACGCGGCGTTGAATGGTATCTACATCATGGTCCCGCTTCAATCTTACTCTATTCTCCAGTGTCATTGGCGCCCCAATTCAGCAGATTTGGCAGGACATCTTCCTTGAAGTGACTGTCTGAGTATGCACTGGACCACGGTTTCTGGACGAGAGCCTGCGTACCGTGCTCCAAAACTTCTCTGGCGACTTGGTTACAAAAAAAACGCGACTCCTCGCGAACAACCAGTCTTTTGAACTCGATGAACAAGTACATAATGACTAGCTATTTGAACTGCGCGAATTGTGTCTGATCTTTCCCTCGCCGAAGGCTTGTACTTGTACTTTGGAGATAGTATGCACTCCTCTGCGTAGATTTCCATCCCTTTGATGGTGCATCGGTTCGTGCACTCGCATCTCCTTCACGGAAGCTAGGTTCAATTCCCAGCTACAGGGTTATGCCGCGAGTTGTCATCGTTTTCGCAAACCCGGAGATGACTCTAGAGTCCCAGAGCCCGAATTCAAGTTCTCTCTTTCATAATCTTCTGGTTGTCCTCACTGCAGACACTTGACAACTTGTGCTCACCGCTCAGTTATAAATCGACTTTGGGGTAACTGAAAGAGTGGGCATTTTTGTTGTATTCCCAGCCTGCGGGGTTCTTTGGTCTGTGTTCAACATCGCTTTTGACTAACTGGAAATAAGCACCCAATCTGCTGGGTTTGAATGCAGGTGAGAAAATCTGCACATGCTGTAGCCTCCATATTTTATTCGGCTTTTTGTTCGATAGACAGCAAGAACTATTCTCCACGATTCTCCACTTGAAGTACCGCAATTTGTTCGGCAAGGTTCAAGGACCTCGTCTTCTTGTTTCTTCTAGTCTCTCTCCCCCTCTCCCTCTTTCTCCACCGTGGTCTCTTTCAGTGCAACGGTTAGTGGAAACCACATCATGCGTTCGATTCTCTTAGAGATCAATGCCCAGTACGATTGAAGGCTTTCAAACTTTTTGTCATGCCTCCGTTCCACTTCTGCTGTTCTGAATTTACGGAGAAGATGTACGCTTCCTTGACTAGTTTTCTTTGTCCCTTTAATGGTGTATCGGTCCGTACACACACATTCACTAGGTTCGACTCCAGCTACAGGGTATTCCTTCTTACTGTTGCTTGATTGTTTTTTTTTTTTGGCAAACCCAGCGACGACTCCAGGTTCCAGTTGATCATCTAGCTAGCAATCCGTGTTCACATGGACTGTCTTCGCTAAAGATTAAACCAAGCAATCAACTTGGTATGCTTATATGTGTCGGAGTGATATGGCTCGATCCATATACGTTGACTTTGAAAGCGCGAACGTAGAACCGTTTCTCTTCTATTATACTCCTACTTCCAGTCTACGGGATTTGGTGCGTTCCTTTTCACTTCACTTTAATGTCAGCTTTGACTGTCTGGAAACAGGATATCGTCTGCCGGGTTCGACTCCCAGCGAGAAAATCAGAAGGGTGTTATCATTTTTATTTTGGCATTTCCTCTACATCAAGAGATATTCTCCGCCAGGGGTGCGGCAACTTATTCAGGAAGACCTCATCTTCTTCAAGTTGTTTCATACGTTACTACGGTCTCTGTCGGTACAATGGTTAGTGTACATCGCGTCATGGGTTCAGTTCCCTCAGAGATTAATAATATCACCGGTGAGAACTTTTTCTTGCCTTTCTGTCTGTTACATTTCTGATTTCAGAAGAAAAATGCAGACGGATGCGGTTCTTCAGGCAAGAACTTGTCTTTGTCCTAAACCCTACCACGATCTCTGTAGCGCAACGGTTAGTACTTTACATCACATCTCGGGTTCGATTCCCCAAAAGATCATCTTGAAGAACTTGGTAATGGTTTTGTGTCTCCACTGTCGTTTCTGCTAGGGCTCGCAAGTTCTGATTTTCGAGCAAAACACATAGGTGATTCATTACATAACTAACTTTACAATGAGCGCATCAACGACTATATCTAGTTCTTTCAACTCTTGGGCTGGACCGGGTGGCGCCGATAGGACTTTAGGTGCAAGACCCATCTCTTACAGAAGAACATCAATAAGTAATCTATTCCGTTCCCCTGGCACTCGCTCGTTCTAAATTCCTAAACACATTCATCATAGCTGTGTCTCCTGCACACCCAACATTTTATAATACCCTCATTACTTGATCTGATTCCTGCCAGGACTCATTCTCTGATAGTGCATCGGCCACTACATGCTGTCGGGTTCGACTCCCAACCAGAGAGCTGGTGACATTTGTCCATGGCATTCTTTTGTCTGCCCTTCATAGAAGGGCGGGGGTAATCGCATGCATGCCGTTTGGTTTTCAAATGTGTGGAGTAGATTTTCATCAAGTCATCGGTTTTGACTGCCTTGTGAGCTGTGACCGCTACGATTTATCTTCAAGTGTGGCTAAGCACCGGAAGGGGGTCCTGGTCTATTTTGTGAAGGCGAGGTGTCAGTCAAGGTTTTGGATATGTAAACGGTTTCGAACCGCAAACGAAAATGGCTTGCTTGCCCCCCCCCTCATTTTTTGCAACGTGCATATTGGCAATCATGAGTCTCAGACTCGTGGCGAAAAGATTACTAGGTGCAAGAACTGGTTGTCGATCCCATTCTCTTAAACTATTCACCGTCGCATTCAACTGGCAGCTCTATTAAAGATTTTTCAAAAGAAAGTTTTATATTCTGTTGAAGTGGTATGCTCCTCTTGGTGCGCCGTGGCAAGTTGACCAACCTGTACTGCTAGGAGGCGATCGAGTAGAATCAGTTGGCTGTGTATAATTTCATACACGTCCCGCGCTGCCCCGTAAAAAGATTATGCACACCAGAAGGAATCATTTCTTGAGTTTGTCGCTGGATTTTAACTTGCAACCCTCCGGCACCCGTCTATGTAGTCCTATACCTGTCGCAGTCCCACCATGATGGTTCGGCCAAACTTAGGAACAGAAGTGTTTACGGCCCCGAGCTAGATTGACCTTTAGTCAGATGGAGCATGTAGGTAATCCAGACTTAGAGCAGTGACCTGAAGTTCATAAAAGCATGGAGGAGCATAAACTTCATTTTTGAAGACAAGGACTTGCTCGAGGAATCTCCATCCTGAAGAAAAAGCTCGGAGCCAAAACTCGTGGGTCATCGGAATCCTATGAAGCGACGGCTCGATAAGAAGTAGCGCAGCAACGAAATCAAAGGCAATCCATCATCAACATCCGTTTCGAATGTGCGTTGGTGACGAACAGCAACAACTGGATTGATTGCGTCGAAATAGATGGCAACGAGGCCCCGGATGAGGTCATGGTCGGGGGTATACATAATGAGAAGTTTCAGCGCCGGCTGTTGTCCGCTCTCACTATCAGAGTCGACGTTTGTGAATCATGAGCACATAGCGCAAAGCAAGATACACAGGATGTAATCGAAATGCTCTGGGAGTCATACTACAATATTGTTTCTCATGGACGGTTTTTGATAGATATGATCTTTGAGAGGAGTGAGAACTGCTTGATGGTCCCAAAATACCTCTGGCTAAAGCTCTGGAAATAGCGAAGTGACAATTTTTTCAAGCTTTCCAAGGCCAGACATGAAAAGACCTCCTTCGGCACCAAAACTTCATGGCCCTGTCCAGGTGTGCAAGGGTATATGGATATTGGTAGACATTCGGGCAAGGTCTCTCTCCCTGCCATTCCTTAAACTTCCTTTGGGTAGACTTGCGTCCAGATTGAGCTACGGCAAATCTTAAGAAACTCGCAGTCGGACCCTCTTTCAGCATACATTTTAACTGGTGTGCGCGTTGTTCCAAACTGCGAACCGCTGTGGGTGCGCAAGACACATATGCACTTTCCACTACGTTGGGTGTCTTCAGAAACACACCGAATCTCAGATCTCTTCAATTGCGCATATCATACTACAAAGCATTCACCGACTTCAATCCAGGCCTGGTGAAAGCGCAATGGTCCCAAATTACATACCTGACCGTATGGTGGGAAGATGAGATGCATGAGGTTGAGCCAACACTCAGGTTTCTCCATCTCTGTCCGAGCCTTGAGACCTTGGAGGAAGACGAGTGACTATCCTATGCTTAGCTTTAAGGCAGATGTTGCCCTGCTGACACTCGCTCAGTGTCTGGTCCCCTCAACTCCTACACTATGGAGGAAGAGGTTCTGGTTGAGAAGAGGTTATTCAAAGATGCCAAAACAGAACATTCAAAGTTCAGTGTCTTGAAAGCAGAGGAAAGCACAATTTTTTTGGGTGATATGATTTAGGGCCATCTGCAACCAAACCTGTGGGCACGACAGCCGGCACTTCAGTTCAAGTTGATTGGCGTGGGTAAACAGAATATTAGAAAATGGCCAGAAATAAATGTCTTTCTGGTGGTCAATTGGTCAGCACACCTTAGTTTGTTGTCCGAAAGCTGGGTACGATTCCTAGTGAGAGAGTCAAGTTGAAGAATGACTTTTTTTGATATGAATCTTACGGAATTGTTACTGCAAGCATTAGAGATCCGAAATCCGTGCTCAAACTTTGTTGCTTTCCCAGGTACTTAAAATAAGATTCATTTGTTCATTTTTGCTTTGATCACTTATATGTTGATATCTAAGCAGATCTTGATCTTGAATCATTATAGAGGATTCCATATGTATGTCCTGACTGTTCTGCTGCTGTATGAGTACAGGGATATGTTATGTTGTCTATGGTATAGAATACAAGACTCAGGGGTCAAAGTATTATATTGCATTTATGATCCCAAAACTCAATTCATATATGTATCAAGAAACTTTATATTTGCAGAACAATGCAAGACAGTTGCATTCATAAGCAGGGACAAGTCATGGATTGAGAGGCAGAATTGGAGTCAAATGACCCACAACTCATCTCTGAACTTCAGGAATTGAATAGTGAAGGAGGAATTCAGCCAAATGACACCAGTAGTCATACTAACCCAACAGAAATATATTCCAAGCATCCTAATGAAGTACAGAGGCAATCCATACCATCAAGACATCCAACTGCATCTATAAACACAAAGTTGCAAGAAGAAAAACCTCACAACTCACCTTGAAATTTATAAGACTATAATTATAAGGCACTTGGAAACCCTGATTCCAGGCCTCCAGCTATACCCAGGGAAGCTAAAACACATACAGAAATGACTTCAGAGAAGCATTTTGCAAATCTAGTATGGAGTTACTTGGCCAGAGAGGACACTGACTTTGATGATGTACCCAGAACCTTAGACAAAGCTAAAGTATCAAGAGAATGGCTGAAATGGAAGGAAGCTATGGATGAGGAGATGAGTGTTATAGAAGCAATAGAGATATACACTGTAGAGTATTTACCTTCAGGAAGATCTCCTATAGGCAGCAAGTGGATTTTCACAAAGAAATTCAATCAGAATGGGCATGTTTCATGATACAAAGCACGTCTGATAGCACAGAGATATTCTCAGATTCCAGGAATTGATTTCTTCAAGATATTTGTACCAGTAGTATGCCTAGAATCTGTCAGAGCAGCCTTTGGAATTGCAGCCATAGAGGACCTTGAAATTGCACAGATAGATGTCAGAAAAGCATATCTAAATGGCTGACTTGAGGGGGAAATTTATATGCAGTAGCCAGAGTGTTATAATGATGGTACAGGCCATGTTTGTTGACTACACAAGACATTATATGGTCTCAAACAGTCAGGATGACAATGGAACTGGGAAGTCAATAGAAAAATGTCAGAAATTGGATTCTCAAAGCAACAGGCTGATCATTGTGTCTACAAATAAGTTATCAGTGGAAAGAAGACTGTAGTAACAGTCTGGGTTGATGACTTACTCATTTTTATGAAGACAGTTGAAGAATTGGATGCAGTCAAGAAACAGCTAAAGGGTTTATTCAATGTGAAGGACATTGGGAGACCAGAGAAGATTATAGGCATTGAAATACAAAGAAACCATGAGGAGAGGATAAAAACTCCTGAACATCACCTTTGACAATGATGGATATATCTAATCCTTCCCTTTTTAAAGTTTGAAGGTGATCAATGTGGGGACAAAGTTATGAGATTTCGCGTGACTCGTTCATTTTCATCTTCTACCATTCCATCTTCATCCCTACTTCCAATGCCGGCTCTGTGGCACCTGAGGATGATGAGTCGATACGATCTCGATTCCAGGGGATTATTCCAACGGCTGTTAATCATTGTGACCAGAGCCGAATCCACTTTTTCGTCGCCCGGAAAGATTGCATGCATCTTCAATTCAAAAAGGGCCAAGTTGGGAAGCAATATATCCAATCCTGTGGACTTGACTGCCGTGAGACATTTGAAGATTTCATCGGCTTCCCCGTCATAACCCTCCATGAATAATACAAGTTTACTGAGACTAGACACAGATAAGAAAACCTCGACTGGGTTTGAAGATACTTCATTGCACATCCCTTGAAATTCAAGGGACTGTAGCTGGCATTCGGACTTGAGGATGAATTGAGAGAAGAATCCTGTAGGGAAGACATCAGTGTGTCCTTCGAATGATACGTGCTCCAGTGAGGGACAGATGAGAAAGGGTAGCAACCGTGGGGAGCTGATGCTAAGTGAACGAAGCTTCGACAGAGTAAGCGGCCATGGTGTAGTGCTCAGGGTTAAAATAGCAGCAGATTCTTCCAACACTTCGATGTTAGGGAAGTGATGAAGAATATAAATGTTTAAGCACTAGGTTCTATATATTCTATATACTCAAATGTGTAATCTGCGGCCACTGGCCTGGACCAGCTTATACCAATGGATGCTTGATCGGCATCATGGCATGAAAGCAAATATATCTGAAATGTGAGGCATTTCAGGTTAGATGCTTCTTGGAATGGAATGGATTCAAGTTAGTGGCCATTCTATCATACTGTACTGAACTTAGATCAAGGAGGGTAAATAGAAATGAAAGAGTTTATCAAAGAGCTGTCCAGACAGATGGCTTCCCAGTGTGATGAGCACTGAACCAAATTCTCGATGATGGATGGGTCTAGAAATATGGCTTGGCCTACAGACAACTAACTGGCTTTGATGACTTTGCTCAAGTGTGTTGTCCAATAGTTTTTAGTTGACACTTTCCTCTTGTCATGGGTGGGTTCCATGAGAGTATGAAAGATGACCCACAATGTGGGAGTGCTCCAAGCAATATCATGCCATTGTCGACAAACCCCCTCCTATCCACTGGGGCTCACAATTGCGAGATCCAAACACAGTGTATGGCCTCGTGCAAGTGAGCAGGAATATCTCTGTCAAAACCTCGGGAGGAAGTGCATGGACAGGTGGAGGGAGCGACACGTGGTCGTCGATGAACTTTTGGGCTTCAGCCTCTATTATAGTCGATTCCAGATTGCGAATAATGGACTCGTCTCGTACTGAGAAAGCTCCATACGTGCTTCACGAATAAGAGAGAGAATAGAGTGTTTGAATGTGTTTGGAGAGTCTGGCGATATGTCAGATCCTAGCAGGGCTTCATAGGGGGGAGGTCGACCGACGATTCTGCATCCATCTTTCAATGAGCGAAGATGGCAGGAAGGATAGGGAAAAGGTGACACTTGGGCCATGGTGTATGAGACCAGGGATGTATACTGCTTATATGTATTTAAAAGTAAGTGAACGGAGTAGTTAGAACTTAGTCGGCGCAGTAAGGGTGAAACGACTGAGGTAGCACATGTAACCAGGGGATATATATACTGTCGGGTTGAAATATAAGAGTAGAAGATAAAGGAATGTACCTAGGTCGGTGTATAAATAAAGGAATGCTACGGGGATTGGCTTCAACCCCATTGACTGAGTAAACTTTGGCTTCTAGAACGACTCTAAAGGAGACGTACCAACGGTTGCCAATTGGTTTGAGCGGGGTGTAGATTGCTCTGAGTCGTCTAGCAATAGCTGGAAAGTGGTATTCCTTTTACCAGCTGCAAAAGAGTAGATATGCACCAAGCATGGGCCAATATTGGAGTGCAATGTTGTGGTTTGAGACAGAGAAGTGAGGTTCGAGCATGTCATGTCTTGCACGGCCTCTTATAAATCTATAAGCCACTATCTTTATACATAAGAGCACTGTAATAGAACTATGATACAGTTGTGTTAGTATACATCTGCATTTATACGATAAGGCATGTCTGTACCGGCGCATGTAACCTCGCCGACCCATGTACACGACTTGTCAAGGTTGTCCATTATTTCCGGGTGCCATGTTGGCAATATAGGCATTCCACTCCGACAAGCTAGGTTCCGCGAAACATCAACAAACCTCACCGAAAAAAGAAAAAAAAAACAGGGATATCCTACCTGAATCCAAGAGGAGCACCGGTCCACATGTCGATCGTGCTGTTCGAAAGTTCCCCAGACAGCCCTGATTCCATATTGAGAAATGGCGGCTGGGGGGAAGTTGAGAACCCAAGGTTGGCTTCGTTGGCTTCGTTTTTCCAGTCAAAGGGGAGGCCAAGGTCGAGCTGACTCGCCGTGTAAGTGTCAGAGGATGGTTGCTCAACTAAGAGGTAAGATATCGTGAGTAAATATTACCGACGAAGAGGAAAAGGCTTTGGTACCAAAGGGTTGAACTCCTTGAAGACGTGTAACGCTTGGCACAGTATCGTACAAGCTCCACAGAGAAGCCACTGGAACGGGAGTAGCTCTTTCTTCAGGTCGTGTTGGGGGAACGGTAGAGTCATCTAATGATTTGGCGCTCTCCACGGCAGCCATAAGCTTAAACAAGGTGCTAGGGACCTATCAGCGGTCATGCAAGTGCAGATCTTCGAAGTACTCACAGTGAACGTCCAGCTACGTTCCACCTATTGACAGGACAATGTTAATTCCATCAAAATACAGAAAGGTCCAATACGCACGTATCGGCGGCATCTTTGAAGATGGCTAGACACAAATCGAAACCGGCCAGGTCCTTTGCATTAGAGGCATGACCCGCCCGTTTGCCACTCCAGATATTCATAGCGAGCACGGCACCAGAGGTGAACGCACCCATCTGCGTTAAGCGTAAATCAATGGAACAGGAGGAGGGTTTGACACGTACAATTATGTGAGGAGTGACGGTCTTCATTCTAGTCATGTGAACTTCAAGGATTCGAGAGCACGATCTGGCCGCGTTCGTGCAAATGACGAGGGAGGGTATCGATAATGGAGAGTCTGTGTGTAGGAAGGGTCGATGTATGAGTATCTGGAGCATGTAGTAGATGCTATATAGGGCCGCGGACTGATACAAAAATTCTCTGTTCTCGCGTTTGGGATCCCAGCGTACTAAGACGACAGCGTCAGTAGCGTGTTAAATAGAGACGACCAGACACATACGATGATCAGGGATCGAATCCACCCACGCGTTCAGGGATGAGTCTACATCAGCAACTATTCGCTGCTCCCAACCTTTTCCTGTGAGACCTAACATTTCTTGACCTTTCTTAATAGAATACAATGTCTTCACGACAAACGAGATTATCTCGCTTAACCGTATCGAGGCAATGAAAAAACTGATTTTTGAAGGTTTGGCGGCCGGTTGATGGAACTGTACTTGGCCATCTGGAGCTATTTCCCAATATTCGTCATCGCATTCAATTGGCCGCTCTAGGTCGAAGCTGTAGCGGATCGTTCAGCGAAAAAATCGTAATCGTAGAAACAACATACTCCTCTTCATGTACCATGGTAGGGCGTCCAAAATATATACTGATGAGTCTGTCGAATATGGTAAGCGCCCTATATGACATTCCATCAACATCTCGCTTTGACACTCAGGTGAGTAAGTGTACCAAAAAGATCGCTTCTTGAGTTCGTCGTCGACTGTTAACTTGTGACCTTCAGGCTTTCGTCTGTGCAGCCCTATCTCTATCGCAGAACGTAGGCCAATCCCAATCATTGTCCAGTTAAAGTCAGGAATAGATGTTCCAATTGAGTATATGGCCCCGAGCTGTCAGAGAACGCCTTAGCATCATTACGAATAGAAAAGGAAAAAGATCGAGCATACAACAGCGAATTGGAGCTCATACAAGGATGGAGGAGTGTAAATGGCGTTTTTGAAAATGCGGACCTGCTCGAAGAATCTCCATCCTGAAGAAAGCTTGGAGCTGGGATGTGCCAATACTCGGGGATCGTCAGAATATCGCGAAGCAACAGCCAAAACAAGAAGTAGTGCAGCACCGAAATTATAATCTCGGAAATGCAATCCTTCGTCAACGTGCTTTTCGAATGTAGGTCGGTGCAGAATAGGAAAAATTGGATTAATTGTTTCGAAATAGATGGCAACGAGGCTCCGGATGAGGTCATTGTCGGGATATATATAACGGGGGGTTTCAGCGTCCGCCGTCGCACGCTCCCACTAACAAGGTCAAGGATCGTAAGCACAAGAGAGACTCAAAGCCGAAACAGGACACACAGGCTGTAAACTGAAGTAGTCTTTCAGCTGCATCGTATTGTCACTACCCGTGTATTTCTTTTTGATGGATAGGACACTGGTAAGCAGCGAAAAGGTACTTGACGGTCCAAAATACCTCTCGCTAAAGTGTTTGCCTTCACGAATCGACATATTTTTCATATTTTCCACGAGATCGGGATGTGAAAAGTCATCTTCAGGCTGGGCTGGTTCGAGTGATTCACTCGATCGTCGGGATGTACTTGCATACGAGTATATCGGCATATAATCGGGTGATATGTCTCGTCCTGCTGCTGCTTCTGGTAGCTCGACATCCGGATTGAGCTATGATGAGTGAGAGAAAGTCGGAGACCAGACATAATATTCACACCTCTTTAAGCGTACTTTCCAGCTGGTTCACGCGTCTTTCCAAGTGCTGTACATAGCTGTTCACCAGTTCATTACTTTAAGCAGAATCACATGATATATAACGCACCTAATGTCAGACCCATCTCTCTCTGTGTGCGATGCGGCAGGAAGGGACTCTTGAGTATACCTGCCAAGATCAGCATCAAGTTGAGCGTTGATACAGATAAGACGGACATTGGTTTTGGCCCACGTTTCTACAGAGTTCTTGATATTGTATATTCCATCAAAGAATGCAGGCGTACCTTGATCAGATCCCCATGCGTGCACTCTGCATCGAATGCGACACAGTTTGAACAACGATTGCCTAACGTGGTAGAGCTATCACCTGTACAGAGAGACAGCGTTTGAATTTGTTCAAGGCTGAGAAAAACTTATAATTTATACATTTGACTACGAAAAAAGAGGTCAGCGACAGAAAATAACATTAGCAAGAATAACATTGTCGCTGGGCTGGAAATCCGAGCAGATTATTGCTTTATGGACGCGCCTCTGGCATTGGTCCGCCATGGACATCGTGTTGCCGAAACGCGTCGCCATATCGGATTTCGGCACGGATCGTAGTCCAACGTGTCCTCGTATCTATACTAAACGAGCTCACCTTTCTTTCTACGACACCTATCGCATGCGCCAGCCAATCTCCTCTTCTTAGCCGGTATTACCTGAGTGTCGTGGTTCATCGTAGTGGTTCGGAAAATGAAAGAGGCTGTCCATGTTTGGAGAGACAAGAGTCAGGAAATGGAAGTTGAAATTGAAATTCTATTATACATCAATCACGCGTCAAACCAATGCTAGCCTCCGGCGAGATCCGAGTCCAACCGACATCGCCTGCTAGACAGTGCTTGAAGGCTCGCCACTGATGCTTGTGGGTCGGTCTGGAAATAAAATAAAAAGAAAATAAAAAGAAAAGAGAAAAAGAGAGAGAAGGAAGGGAAAGAAGGAAGTTTCACAAGACCTACCAGTGTAATCTAAAGTGATTTTTTGTGTGTCCCGATGTCAAAGACAGTGGTGCGATGCCCAGGGCACAGCCACGATCAAGCCGGCCATGCACTGGTATGGATTCATTTAACATATGAGATGCAATCAGTTTCCGGCCCTCAAAATTTTATTTTGAACTCATTCATGCAAAGATAATATGCCCCAAAATTTTTGGGCCCTCTGGGCAAGGCATTAATTTGTCAGTCTTTTGTGAATGGTAGCAATTCAGTTGCTACTGACCGGGGTTTGAATTTTAGGCCAAATGCGGTCGACTGCGGGGCTCGTCATCATCAATACTGAGAGCGCTCAGCGTCGACTTGCTGTCGGCATCCTTCATACAGATGTAGTCAGTATCCTTCTAATAATAGGAAATTTCTTCTCATGAGACTGGAAGCACTCCTGAAAGCTACCATTTCACGTATAAGCTAAAGTGCATGAACTGCTAGGCTACAACTTAAAAAATGTGGCAGACTTATGACTGCTAAATTCTTTGAGGTCAGCAGGAAGACGGCCACTACCAACCCTTATCAACCGCAAGTGAACAGCATCGTGCCTCAAATGGGAAATATCGGCTTCATTCAGACTCGGTTAAAACTCCGGACGCTAGCAACTGTTATAGGTAGCGACTCACCATCACTAGCCAAGTCAGGGTTCGCCAAGCACAAATCTTCATGTGACTCTAACGAAAGCATTATTACGAGACACTTTGCTCGCAGTAAGTTTAGTACAGGCCCGTTCATTCTTCAATCTCATGTTCTCCTGCGCTGAGCTCTCTAGGGGGCACTATAGAGCTTTCACTTACCTTGAAAGTAATAATATCTTGAAAACGTGTTGAGGTTATATTTGCTTCTACTTAAATGGAGATCCGGCGATCAAGGCAATCTCGCATTATAATGGGAATGAAACTTCCGCCCGCCTGACTATCTCGGAGCGATGCACTGGATTTACTCAAGGCTGTACACCGCACATCGCTATAAAACCTTCAAGTTGAGTGAATCCAGCCCCCGCCTAGTCATCCTTCTTCCTCTCTCATCCTTGGGTCTGCACCTACCACCAGCGACTTCTGTATCTAATCATGCGTTGGCATCACTTCCTCTGCTGTCTGCCCCTCCGTTTGGGTGCTTTGGTAGGCACACTCTCCACCTATAATTGTCGACCAATATGAATGTCTCATAGATCATCGCTACTTTAACCCTTGCTGGAAGCGCGCTTGTAGCATTAGGCGCTTGGTTCAATGTTCACGATATCATTAACAAGACGCTCAAGCTCTCCAAGTCAGGAGAAATCACCATGTACGCCATCGCTGGTGTGTACACCCTTGCTGCCCTTATATCCCTTCTCGGGTGAGTGTCCTCCATTGACATCTTCGTTCTGAATCTGACGCTCATAAAGCCTGATTGGTGTCTTGACCACGAGGCAAGGCCTTGTGTCCACGTTCAACGGTCTACAAAAAGGGTCATTTATCGTCAGTTTGGCGATTGGTGCCTACTCTTTGTACCTCCTATTCAGCAACAAGTACGACACCTCTGATTGCATAAGCTCTGTCGATGTTAGCGCCGATACTGCGAAGCAAGTCTGCGACACAACGCTCAAAATATCGAAAGCTGCTATTACAACTATCTATGCCATTATATGGCTTATTCAATTCTGTCCGTGGACCCTCTAGCGCCCTCTCGACGAATTCCTGACTTTTCTTCTGTTCTTGCAGATGGTCTCTTTATTGTGCACAGCTACGTTCGGGAACTGGAAGAGGAAAGGTTCGCGAGGTACAAGTATGTGACGGTTAGAGTATGAGGCTTTCCGTGCTGCTTGCTTTGTAAATTGTATAGATATCACCGAATGTCACAGAACACGCATTATGAACGTTTCGATACTACACGAATGTTTATTTTCCCTGTATTCTTAAGCTGTACCGCGGAGGTTAGTGGCTGGATAAGAATGTGTTTTCCATGACAACACCAAAATCAATAAGCTAAGTAGATTCCTCAGGTATCTGGTAGTGTCCCAGTTATTTCTGATGTCAGTCCCCGACTTGGGTTCGAATCCCATTCAAAAGATGACGTTGAAGCCACCAACTTTTTCTTTGTGGCATGCTGACTTGCCTCAAGTCTTGACTGTACTGTACATGTGAACAAAGAACAGTATTTAACATGAATCTCAGAAGGTGGACCCCCCCATTTTTGAAAAGATAACCAATGCAGACTTCCTGCCTTTGTGACAGCATGAACTTGTGTCACTTCATAATACATTGTTTTCAGACAACGTTGTCGTATGGCCTCTGGGTCAGTCTTATTACTACGTCAGCCTGGTCCCCCAACTACATGCATTTGTTCCCGCTCACGCTGCTTGGTCCCTGGTACTGCGAGAACTATTCCTGTGTAAACTAGCTCAGTCCTGGCATACCATTGCGATTCAGCTCACGGGAAACATTTCGGGTTAGGTGCAATGTCGCTGCTTCTAATGACGGCTTCAGTGTCTCTCATCATACTCCCTCCCTTCCTCTTATTCTACTACGAGCTGATGAGTTAGTGTATATTTACCTAGCTAAGTTGCTTACATAACGTAGTCAGCCAATCGCAGCACTTTCCACTTTCCATTCAATCAAAGTCATGCAATTACAGTGCCTTTAGCCAGCTCAACAAATCCCGGTTAACTTCATCTTTTGCCTCCCACATCACCCAATGGCATCCATCGTATTCATGGATAGTTGCGTTCTTACATTTCCCAGCGGTCCCTGCTTTGTTGAGGGCGTTGAGGGCGACTAAGTCTTTCAATGCGCCACCGTAGAAAACGGGCTTCGTAACCTCGAGGTTTGCCTCCGGGACAGCTGAAATCGGACGTAAGAAACAAAGGTCGATCAAGAGATTGCGAGTTAGCGCACCCTTGTTATCCTCAGCATCGATCCCCGTAGTCATGACTTTGTACCAGTTCAGACAACTGGCCATGCCGCCGTCGAGGAGTTCTTTCTTGTGGAAGTCCTTCTCCTAAATGAAAGGTGAGAAATGTACATTGAGAACATGAGCACGACGAACTTCCTCGGTGATATACGAAGCCAGAGAACCATCAGTTTTTCCCTGCAAGAGGTAGGCCTTCAGAGCGCCGATGGGCGCGAAATCGGAGGCCATCAAGTTATGGTCTTGAGCGTACAAGAGACGCAAGAAGGATTCCATGTTGTCTTCGATAATCTTGTCGGCGCCCTCTGAGGAGAAGAAGGACCAGTATCCGAAGAGTTCGTAGCCGAAGGTCTTCTTGGACTAGAAGACACTTCAATTTATGGCTAGATGGAAGAAGAGTGTACTCACGATGACCAGGAACTGCTCATAATTATACTCCGTACTTGGCGAGACATATCCGACAGCCAAGAGACCGAATGCGACGAATCGATCGGGGTAGTAATTGGCAAGACGGCTGATGATTTTGGCGCCCCTTGAGGACAACGGTAAGAACACTCAGGATTACGAACAATCGAAAGAAAAGAAGAACCAGTCGTGGCCAATGGCGACCACCCGGGTAGCGCTTTCCGTGTCTACCAACTCCACTAGATCTTTCGTGAGAACGGTCGAACGATATTCTGCTGCGTCGGCAGGTTTCGAGGACCCCCCATAGCCGAGCATATCTGGGACTATGAGTCCATAGCCCTCGCTGAGGAAGAATGGAACCTGGTGTCGCCAGTCGAAAGAAGTGCTGGGGAAGCCGTGAAGAAAGAGCAGGTACGGCTTGGCGTCATCCTTTGGGGGAGAGAAGAAGTAATGATAAGTATGGCTGTTAGAGGTCGTGAAGTCTTTGTACAGGGAGGAATCCATGATGGCTTTAGGCGCCGTGACGAATGGTTTAAATAGGCGGCTGAAGCAAATCACGGTGTGATTGCTGCCCCGGGTCGCAACTTACAGTTCCGGTTACGTTACTTACCCGTTCATACAGCGGCCGAAGTAGAAACAGAGTGAAGTAAAGAAGTTGGTCTTCTGAATCAGCGGGCCGTGTCGTGTAATATGATGGATGAACAACAGGGCTGGATAGCACTTCGGCCCGGTAGGCTCGGCATTCACGTCAGATTCAGCGTTGAACATTAAACGTTTTACATGATTCACGGGCCACGTTTACATATCGGAGTGCTTGAATAACGGGACGTTAGAAAATCCCATGAATCTGACTACTTTCGGGGAAAAAGTTGAGTATAAGCCAAAGCATAAATAGCTGAAACTCATCTTGATGTTGTACTTGAACATAGCACTGAAGAAATATGGGTGATATGCCAGCAGTGTTTGGCAGTTGTCGTTACGAGTTCCAACATCGTAAGACCTTGATGATACAAGCCGAAGTCTCGGGAGATTACGAACTCTTGTGCAAGTTCCTCAGGATCGGTCTTCTTACTTCAGAGCTATTAGGGCGGGAAAAATATTGGACGCCCGACATCCGTCAATGGTCCTGGGCTTCCCAGGTATAGCGAATTGTAAAGGGTGATTAAGGTCAGAAATACGGAAAGAGTACTGGGAACATTCGTACAAAATACCGGACAAATGCGATGCTTAACCAGCAACTAACACTTGACATAGATGGCGACTTCAAATTCGACTCACTCTGACTCAGAAATTCAAGCTCTTTAATCCCCTCCTGACTCCGAGAATTACGAGTATCTCTGACAAACGGCATGATTCAGAGAACTTTTGAGCAAGTCATCAGCCGTTTCCGGCCAGTGTGGGATACATGCTGCGCCCTCGATACCATCCTGTCTGGCGCCCCTCTTGGATTCGAAAGGATGGAACGAGAAGATGGAAATTTCGTGCATCATTTGAGGATGAACATTTCACGACGGCAAGAATAATGCTCTCATTAATATTCGGATTTCCCTACTGAAATTTTGTCGTCGCCTCAGACACCACTCATCCTGGATGCCGTCAGAATGAAAGACAAGGCCAAGGTCGTTCTTCGAGTTACTCGTACAGACACTGACGAGCTTGCCATGCCGAAACGTCCGTGCGACCCTATGGTACTGCAGGATCCGTGAAATCACACCGTTTCAATCCTTAATGTCATACCCATTCCCGACGGTGATGAACTGGGCATTTTCATGGTCATGCCAATGCCCAGAAAGTTTTACGACCCGCCGTTTCATTGCCGGTCTGAATTTATCGATGCATTTCGTCAACTTCTGGAGACACGAGTATCTGTCCCCTTACAACCACCCATGTTCTAACTTCTGTTTAAAGGGTCTCAATTTCATGCACAGCCTCAACATAGCTCATACGTAAGTTCCTTGTCTTATGTGACACGGCTTATCTCTGATCCTGGGTTTCTGTAGTGATGTGAGTTTGCTCGATTTCCTTATGGACTCGTCGAAAGTCTGTCTCAAAGGCTACCATTATGCCGACCCCACAATGTATGATGGCGTACATTGGAGCCTCCCTATTCGTCCTCGATGTCACGTTGCACCAGTCCGATATTATATCATCGACTTTGAGAGCACCTGAGAATATCCGGAAGGCAAGGAGAATGCTGAGGCGAATAGGCCGTTCGAATGTAGTGTAAAGACATCTCCACAGTTGTCTCTCGGTCTTCCGTGCAATCCGTTCAAATTGGATGTCTACAATGCTGGCGCCACATCCTTCGAACTTTGTGAGGTAGGGATCTATTGTCGTTTGTATCTGTATCCTGTTGGTTAACTCTGCTATCAGACATATCATGGATTGGACGACTTCCGGCCTCTTCTACTTGACATTATGTCCGAAGACCCGTTCGCTACACCCGATATGGCGGAGGCTCTACGGAGACTCGACGAGCTCGTCTCTTCGAAAGACAAATTATGGTTTCGCTATCGGGCCTGGAAGTTTCAGAGATTGGTAAAACCTCCATCGCTGTCGGCCCAATATCTGTGGCGGAAGTTCCCAGTGCTCCTTCCTTATTTCTAACCTTGGCCACCCTTTTGCTGTATCGAATAGTGTGGCAGCTTCTCTTCCATTGGCTCTCAGATCCTCAGTCGGTGGTATACTTTCTGAAGCCGGGAAAAAGATGCTGTACCTCAACGTTCAAGGACCATTGGGCCATTATTGTTCGCAAACGTAGCTGTTACTAAACATCAGGCACAATGCATACAAACGGTCCTACGACCCTTGCGCCATCCCGAGCTTGCGCACCGATCCCACAATCAAGAAGCCCTTAACATCTACAGAGGTACCATATACGTGTATACAACACCTTAATTCCCAAGCACATCCTTATCTTCACTGTAGAATCGCCGCTTCTAACCCTGCCCCTCGACATTGGCACCGATGAGTCAGTCGAACAGGCGCGAACCTCGAGGCGCTTGTGAAGTGACGAAATTTGAGAGGAGATCCATGTGTCTGAGCCGAAGGGGATGAATGGATGCTTTGTTTGTACTTGCATCGAGATTCGACAATCCATCTTAATGAAGAAGCCTCAAAGATGATCGCGTAGTCTATGGGCCAGTTCTAATGCACCGTGGAGCATGATGGTGAATGATGTTCTTCTCTACGCTACATATCATGTGCTCAATATCCATAATAACGTCATTGAAACATACACGACGAGACTAACTTCGAAACCACGGACCTGAGGAATCAGCTCCACATTACGACAGTGAACATGGACGCCCACCTAGGTACCGGGTACCTAGTTTAATAGCACCGAAAAGTTGCCTGTGTACCTGCTGAAGGTCCCTTAGTTTGAAGGATCGCCAAGTTGCGACCCTTTTCTATGATCCCGAAAACCCTCTTTTTTGCCGCCCGACTAGCCAGTCGATATCAGGTAAATGGCGAGGCTTCGAGCAAAAAAGGAACAGGGTGCCACGAGGAAAGGTAGGATTAATTGTCAAGTCATAAATTATGAAGGGTGTCCGAAAGAACGTGGTACTACATGTAACGGTATACATATAAAACTCCGATGATAAAGAGAGCTTTATGGGAAGTAAAAGATATGAATGATAGTATTCAATTCCCACCGCAAGACAGAAAGCAATGAAAGAGAACGATAGCAAACTGACAAAGAGCGATTAAGGTCAGAAATAAGGAAGAAGTACCGGAAACTTCCGCCACAGATACTGGACCATATGTGAAGAAGGTTTTACCAATCCGCGAAGCTTCCAGATCTGACCGCGAAGCCATAATTTGTCCTTCGAGGACACGAGCTCGTCGAGCCTTCTTAGAGCCTCTGCCATATTAGGTCTGACGAACGGATCGTCAGACATCATCTCGAGTAGAAGGGGCCTTAAATCATCCATCCCATGATATCTCTATTAGCAGAGTAAATCGACGCGATGCGGATATAAAAGTCCATAGATCCTTACCTCACAAAGTTCGAAGAATGTGGCGCCAGCGTTGTACACATCTAATTTGAATGGATTGCACGGAAGACAGAGAGAAAACTCGGGTGACGTCTTTGTACCACATCGGAGAGGCCTCTTAGCCTCGGCATTCTCTTTGCCTTCCGGGCATTCCTGAGCGCTCTCAAAGTCGATGATATAATATCGTACTGGCCCAACGCGACATCGAGGACGAGTCGGAAGGCTTCAATGTACGCCGTCATAACTCAGATCGTTGGCATAATGGTAGCCTTTGAGACACACTTTCGACGAGTCCATCAGAAAATTGAGTGGACTCACGTCGCTACAGAACTCTGCATCAGATATAGAAGATAAAGACCACAGCACACTTACACATGAGCTATATTGAGGCTGTGCATAAAGTCGAGACCCTTCAAACGAAAGTTAGAAGATAAAGATATCAGGGCACAGATACCTGCCTCCAGAAGCTGACGAAAAGCATCAACAAATTCTGACCGACAATGAAACGGTGGATCATCAAAGACTTTAAGCATTGGCATGGCAATGAAAACACGCTGCTCTTCGTCGTCAGGAATCGGTATTATATCGAGGATGGGAACCGTATGGTTTCGGGAATTCTGTAGTAGAGTAGGGTCACACAGACGTTTCGCCAAGGACAGCTCGTTAGTGTCTGTACGTGTAATGCGGAGGACGACTTGGTCTTGTCTTTCATTCTGATGGCATCCAGGACGAGCGGCGTCTATAACGACGGCAAAATACCAGTGCGGCAATTCGAATATTTTCAAAATAGCATCATTCTTACCATGGGGGTATGTTGGTCCTCAAATGATGCACGAAATCTCCGTCTCTTCTCCGTCTCTTCGTCCCGTCTTTTCGGATCCAAGAAGGGCGCCAGCCAGGGTGGTATCGAGGGCGCAACATGTACCCCACATTGGCTAAAAAGGGCTGGTGGCTCGCCCAGAACATATCCGAAGCATCCAGCTTGTCAAAATCACTCAAACAGGTCTCTGAGTCAGAAGGACGCAAGAAGACTGAATTTTCGGAATTAGATGTACCCGAATTTGTAGTCGCCATCTCTGCCTAGTGGTGGTCGCTGGTTGAGCTGGTTGACGTTAAGGTCTAAATCATGTGGATCAGCGCCGGCGTTAGCCAAGAAAATAATTTGGAGATCGGCGAACAAGTGTCGGAAATAAACTCGTGAGCCGGTTCCTGCGCTTAGCTGGATCCATTTCTGGTGCTCCGACTGCCTACTTTGTATTTACTTGACTCACTCGAAAAATGATACAAAAGGACCCCACCGAACAAGGGACTTCACCTTTTCCATCACTGGTACTTACTAGCCAGCTTCGACCATTCAAGTCTCCTCCTCAATCCATAATTACTCCCTACTGACATGCTTCAACAACAAGAACTGGCAGACATCATCAAGAAACTCGGAGAACTCAAAGGCCTTATAGACGAGGATAATACTATCACTGATGATCAAAGAGCAAAAAATCTCAAGATCGTTGTCACGTATGTGCATCCTCTATGTTTGAGGCTACGATCGGTGATGAGCGACGTCAGTTTGTTAACAGATGTTAGAACCAAAATCACCGCCGCCACTACTAGTCCAGACAATCTCCTTCAAATGTTGAAGAAAACCATTGTTTTGATCAAATCTCCCAGCCGTGCTACTATCAGTAAAAGCTTTGAAACCATCTATCACAACTACAGGGTAATTTTTTTCTTACATCCGTCGTGATTGGCTTATCTTTCCCATTTTTTATTTACAGAAGGTATCCAGTGCAGAGCGAGTTCGCCAAGCAAAGTTGAAAGAAGAACAAGACAAGAAGAAGAGAATGGAAGCCACTGCTGCTACAGCTGCGACACAGGCGTTGAACGATGGTCCCGTGAATCCCTATCTTCATGTCGACAATAGCCAGTTCACGCGAGGACCTGGATTCGATATGACCAACTTTCGTCGTGTCGATGGGCACAACCTTTCCGGAATGCGCTACCCTGTTGACGTCAATGGGCCCAAATACCTTCATCTCTTGAGACCTCCCAAAAAAGCCCACCGCGTCCGTAACGAAGTACCTGCCAATGTCTCCGGACTTGAAATGTATATATCTCGCCTCGAGTGCCTAGCTGGACCCTCACTCTCAGCGTCGCCTATTCGACTCCTCAGCCATCGTCTGTGGAAGTCCGGGAGATCAACTAGGTGAGTATGAACATATCTTGACTGAATACAGCGACCGATTATTCGACAGGGAGGCTGGCGACACCACTGACCAAGCATCTGAGACAATTGATGACGGCAAGGGAAAGGGAAAGGAAAAGTCTCACAAACGCAGCGACAGTACTTTCGCCTTTGGGCATCACCGTCCGACGTAAGTAATTCCTTTGCCTTCTATAGCCCTCTGATTGATAGCTGTCACTGACAGTCCTAGAATGAATTATAATAACTCTCAGTCGAGCTTGAGAACCATAAATGCCTCTAACATTGCCCCTGGCAACTGAAGGTGAGGTTGGTTTTCTCCCCTTAGGTAAGTCTCATTAAATGGGCTTTCAGACCTCCGTCTTTAAAGATTCCTACCGCGGAGGATATCAGAACGTGAGAGAAGTGCTCGCAGAATTCCCTTTCGCTTTTGCTTTTTGGATTGTCCGTCGTTGTTGTGCTTTGTGCAACTGCTTTCATTGTATGCTCTCTTATGTATCATTACTCTCGAATATCATCCCCATTCTAAAGATTGTGTATGTGGCTCGGCGCGTGCCTCCGAAACAGAGACTCGACAAATAAGCTTAAGGAAAGAAGCCTCAAAGACCATAGTGCAGTCTATGAACCAGTTCGAATGGACCGTAGCACACGACAACAGATGATGTTCTCCTCTTTGAACGCGCTGCAATACCCTGTGTGCATATCCACAACAATATTCTTTCCCGCGTACACCGCAAGATTAATTTCCAATCGGACCTCAGGAACCAGCTCCGCACACCACAGAGAACAACATGAACGCGAACTTAGGTACATACCAGGTAACTAGTTTAGTAGCAGAGAAACTTGTGACCCTTACCTACGATCCTGCAAACCACGTTTTTCTAAGAAAGTGACGCGCGTTTGTAGCACCTAATAGAGTATGCTGTTAGCTATAACATAGACCTCACACAGCGTAGCGATAAGCAGAAACGCGGTGATGTATTCACTGTACCTAATAGAGTATGCTGTTAGCTATAACGTAGACTACAGAATACCAATCAGTGACATAAACGAAGTAATATAAGTAGATACTCACCCTCACACAGCGTAGCGATAAGCAGAAACGCGGTGAGGGTGCTCGACAGACCATATTTAATATATATAGTCCATCCCGACATAAAGGGGCATCGAGCTTGGCCGGCGGGATACGACGGAGCTCCTGCTTGCTAATCCAACAGTTTTGCCTCCCAATGAGCGAGTCAATATCAGGAAAATTGCAAGGAGTTAACACGGTGACGCGGTCTAGGGTATGATCAATTGTCGAGTCATAAATTTTGACAACTCCAATTGTCTAGAAAAAACGTGCTAGTATTGCCGATAACGGTATACATATAAGTCCCCGATAATAAATTGGATAGCTTTGGTTCGAGAAGAAAGGTGAATGACAGCAGTTCAACTCCAGCTGTAAGGCAGAAAGCAATGAAAGCGAATAGAGCGGTCAAGGTCCGAAATAAGGAAGAAGTATTGGGAATTTTCGCCACAAATATTGGACAAAATCTGGAGGAGGCTTTATCCATCTACGAAGCTTCCAGATCCGACCGCAGAGCCATAGTTTGTCCTTCGAAGACACTAGATCGTCGAGCCTGAGCCTCTTCCATCTCAGGCCGGGCAAGCAGATGCTCAGACATCATGTCAAGCAAAAGTGGTTTGATATCGTCCAATCCTTGATATTCCTAATGGCAGAGTAAGCGACGTCAAATGACAAACAGAGGAATTACCTCGCACAGCTCAAAGAATGTAACACTGGCATTGTACACACTCGATCTGAAGGCATTGCATTTTCCCCCCTGAAAAAAACACTGGCGAAGATCGTGTGCCGCAACGCAGATTCCTAGTTGTTAGAGGGTTTTCCTTGCATGCAGGGCATTCTTAGGCGCTTTCAAAATCGATGTCGTAGTACTTCATTGTCCCGATGCGACATCACGGATCTTCGAAAGAGGAGGTATTTATAACAAAGGCGTAATGATACCTTTTGGTACAGACTTTCAAGTTGAGCAGGCTCACATCGCTCAAAAGTTCCGAGAGAATGGAGCGAGATTCGAGTGAAGCCGAATAACAACTTTAGAGCCGTCTCTGCGTCCAGGACGCGGTCTCTCTGCAAGAGCCGGTCAGAACGGACATTTGTAAGCAAAACTTTTTTATTCTTATGTGTATAGAGTGTGAATCCTACAATGCGCGAAATTTACAGTTCTTTGTGCCAGAATAATGTTAGATAGTATCATGTAGCCCGAGCGCCAAGAGGGGTTGATCCTTCACCCAAAAATTTTCTGGAAAGATTCTCTATTCAGAAGAGCTTTTGATTCAGCACTTGAAGTCGACCATGGTGGTGGTATCGGGGCCCATTAAGGATTGTTTGAGAGGAATCGGCATTTCGGCCCGATGAACCGTTGACATTTCTTCCTCTACATCACGCGCAGAGACCTACTTGCATGATAACGCGCTCTCACAGATCCACATGCATTTCAGTAAAAACTACTGGTGAGGACGTGAAAGGAACATGTTGCAGGTGCAATTAGCCAGGAGGAATGGACTCGAATTCAGCTAGACTCGGAGATCCGTACGTGTTCTTGCCCTGTGTCCCGCATGGTGCCAGGACGTTGATGACCGGTTGGCCACTCGGGATGGTATCGAGATGGCGGGATGGATGGGTGCGTGTGTGATACTCCCTGCCTATCGTCTGATTTAAATTTTCTGTAGTTCTGCAATTCATCACTCTCGCCCTTTATCATATCTGGCACAACGTGTTCCAACTACTTGGACACAACCTTACGGCCACTTTTCTCTCGGAAGACTAGACTACGGCTCCCTGGACCTTAATGAATCCAGGACTGTTGACATGGATAGGTGAGTACGCCCTGTTACTCGTCCTTTCCTTGCTGATCACAAGCCAAGATTCTCCTCCATGGCTTCTGGGCCTCCTCCGTTGATATCAATGTTCCTTGACACTTCTATTCACTCGTTTGTTTATTTTCCCTTGCTGATGAATTCTTTCTTGTAGCACATGGTTCTTATGTGCAGTGTTAGCGCCGTTTCAGTCCAAAGCAACCAACACATTGGTCCGCTGATTGGCCTCCGTACTCTCTATATTTGGATATCTGGCGATAACGAAAATTACGTTCCTTGCCTTGGCCTAAGACTATTTCGGGTGCACTGATACTTTACTGCTGTATCGTTCGACTCTTCGGGCCGATGTTCATATGCGCGGCTCCTACCTGCAGAAAAGCTTCCTTACTATTTCAAGTTGCACGTTCTGTTACAGCCGGCATGACCAACGGTACGGTACATTCCTTACGTTCAGACGAATCGTGAATAACCACGTACTCCAGCGTGTTTCATCATCAGCGCCCATGTGGTATACCGTGATACTAGGAGACGCGAAGCAGTGGAAGGTACATCCCTCTTCCTTCCATTTAACGCGCTTGGATTCTTAGCAATCAGAGAAGCACAGATCTCGTCACTTCGCTCTCCATGGATCATTGTTGACCCTGCGTATGATCGATTAACTGCCGTATATCTACCGTGCTAGGCGGCCCCTGATGCTGTGATGTCGAACTTGGGTAGATTCGGAAGAAGGCCCACGCAACATCACGTCCCTTGTTCTACCGAAGCTTCTCTCGATCAGTGCAACCGTTCGCATCAGGTACCTTGATGATACAGCTCTGTTTGTATTATTATAGCTGAAACTGTTGACATTCAATCGCTATCGAGGTGCGCGGTTTCTGGGGCTCTCGACGCATCGATGACCCTCCCACTCTACCTCAATAGTCCAAACAAGGCTCCTCTTGATTGGCATGGATGATAGATCATATGGCCGCCGGTGGTGTTGCGCTTGACCCATCTAGTCAAATGCAACATGAAGGTCCACCAGGGTCCACCGCGTTAAGACCGTTCATCTTAGTAGTAAGCGGACTCGGTTTATCCATTCAACTTACCTCACGCTTGACGAATTTCAGGTCACGGCGATCTTACGCCTTGAATGACGACAAGGGGGGGGGAGATTCATAACTGTTGAAGTTCTTAATTATCATTACCGTGTTGGTCTCTATCACAACCATCGCATGGCGGGCTCCTTATCCCGTAGCTGAGATGAACTTGGATCTCAGTTATCTTTTATTTTTGAGAACGTTCGTGATATTGGTGAGCAATTTGTCGTGCTCTTCTTTCATAGTCATAGTATTTACCTTCTACGCCCGGTGACATGTCGGGAGGTGAACTTAAAATCCGCTTTCTGTCCATCGATCCTTTCGCGCAGTTTTGTGGTAAACGAGGATCCCCCTCAGCGCAGCCGAAAGCTGGCGATCCTGATGCGATACCTCGCCTTTTTTTTTTGGAAAAAAGCGCGCCTATTAATGGCGTACACTAGCACGCATGGTCGATTACCCATGAATGCACCATTCGTGCATCCTCCACGCTACATCCACGCCCCAACACCGCCCATCAAAACGCCCTGGGTCCTAAACATGACATCGATTTTGAAATAGCCCGAGGCCCTTGGTGTGTGATCCCTTGATCGGTGGATATCTACCCGCGTTCTCGTCACATTATAAAAAGGGCCCACCCAGCACGTTGTTTTACTTCCTTAGCTCGGCCGTTCATCCCCACCATGCGATTCACTAGCTGCATCTCTCTCCTCGCGCTCGTGTCTGCCGTCGCGGCGGGTGGCTCGTACCCGTCCTCTACACCCGGGAATCCGGGGTGGCTCTGCCCAGACCACGATGGACATGGCAATTGGAAAGCCAGCTGGGGATGCGATTCCCCACCGTACAGTGGATCTCACTTTGGCTGCACGTAAGTCTATCGTCGCGCTCGTCGTCCGTTTCAGGGCCCCCTTGGCTGATTGTCTTCATTCCTCGTTTAGATTCCGCACGGGCTCTACGGGGTCGTATTCGTGCTCGTTTGACACCGTGAGTGTTACCCACAGCTCCGGACTCGTGCTTTTGAGTCTGATAGCGGTTTAGAACTCTGGACAATGTGCTTCTGGCCAGGACTCGAGGTGCCCGTCGTACGCCACCTACTCGGGCAGGAGGAAGAGGGACCCGGAGGCTGCACCAGCTCCCGTTCCTATTCTTCGTGGGTCGGTGAGTCCTGTTCCATTTTCTTGGTAGTCCTTCTGGATTAAACCTGATGGTTTCTCCAGAGCCAGGCCGCCCAGTTTCTTTAAGAGATAGTACAAGAACCCGAACACTTTTTGCATTTGAGACTCCTTATCGCATTCAATTCTTTATTACAGCCCGAAAACCCATTCATTTTACCCCGTCACTTTCGTTTTTGCACACTACATTTCTTTTTTTATTTTGGCGGGGAGTTTCATAGACGTTGATTTTTATTGTAAACTTGCATTGATTACGATTTGACCTGAGCGCTGTTTTTTTTTTTTAAAAAAAAAAGAAAAATCTTTGGTCATGGAGAATTTTTTTTAAATGCTTTACTGCTTGCTTGCTTATTCGGGTGCCTTCGCTAAAGAAAAATGTCACAGACGGACGCGCGGTCATCGCGGTTTTGTACGCAACTCTTTTCTATCACCGCTTGTGTCTCTTCGCCGTCGCAAATGAATTTAATAGGCTCGACCCTATGTCTTTTGGCGCTAGTTGGGCATGGGGCATTGACACCCCGCTCAGTTCGAATTCATTACACAATCCATCGCTATGTATGCACTGTATTGAAATGGATAGATCCTCGCCTCCGTCGCGCTGATAATGTAAAGGCGGTCTCCCCATCGTACCCTTTTATTCCCATTTATCCAAATAAATCGTATCCGCGATATCTCTCCTCCTTAGCATACATTTGAGCATAGTTGCGTTAGTTGAAGACAAATTGTTGCTCGATGCGTGAAAATTGGTCTCCTTCTTGATGGGGAGCAAGAAAGCATCTTAAACGTAAGCCCTAGACTGTTCGTCTATAGCTTCCCGGGCAGCTTAAGAATTGAAATCGGGCTGGAGACACCGTTCTGCACCCCAGATAGCAAGAACGGATTCACGGATGATGACAAATTTATCGTGCACGGGCTTGAACTGCCGCGATGAATTGAAGGTATGGTGTGCGATACACGGGCTGAGCGTCGATCGACGAAGACTTGAAGAGTGTCCACACCGAAAAGAGCGTGTTCGCATGCTCACGGGTATGTACCGATGATTGACGGCACCAGGAGGTTCTACGGTTCCAAATGGTAGTCGGTACTGTCATGGGTGGCTCCATAAACTTAGCGTTGGCTGGCTCTTACGCACTGGTGCAAAATAAAGCGCTTTCGCGCATATTTTAAGCCTTTGAATGGACGATACAATACGCTCTGCATCACAGAAAGACACGGTCTTCCATCCATCCGTATCCGTTCTCTACAAAAGTCGTCAGCAAAAGTAAGCCTGTGAAAAGCAGAACTAACCCTGTTCAAAAATGATGGATATATCCAATCCTTCTGTCTTGAAGGATTTCAGACGGTCGACACGAGACAACGTCCTAAGGTTCCGAGTAGCCTGGTCTTCTTGCTTCTCTACGTCAACGACCGTCCCTTCAATACCGGCTTTACTGCACCTGATTCGCACTTGACGCAACTGGGCGACCGATAATTCTTTAGGAACGTTCCAGCGCGCGTCGATAATCCTAACCAGTACTTCGTCCAATTCCTCCAAGTGTGTTTTTCCCGTGAAAAGCTCCTGCACCTTCAGCTCGAAGATGTTCAAACTGGGGAGCATCATGCTCGTGTCACCCAAGGTGAGATATTTGAGGAGCTCTGCCACGTCTTTGTCGTAGCATTCCACGCGAAGAACCAATTTGCGGAGGTGCGGCACGCACGAGAAAAGTTCTCCTGGGTCTGCCAGATGGCGCCATAGCCAAATATCGAGAGAGCGGAGTTGACATCTGGAATGAGCGATGAGCTGCGAGAGGGGCGGTATAGAGAATGGGGCATCGTATCGCGGAAGGATTGACAGGTGTTCTAGCGCTGGACAAACGAGATAGTATAGTATCTCAGGGGACCTGACGCTGAGCGAGCCAAGTCTCGGGAGCGTCACCATGATGGATTCTGGAACAGAGTGGAGTATAGTCTCTTCTCTCAACGTTTCGAGGTTTGAGCAGAGACGGAGAACCTTGATGCTCGCCTCCACGGGACAATCTCGCATCGGCCCCAAAACCATGACCAAGGACGTGAGCTGCCACCACGGCACTCCGATGGCGCTCGGGTCGAAATCAGAACGAGTGTGGTATATGTTGAATTTGAAGGATCGCAGGTTGGGCGTGTGTGAGAACATGCTCAAGATGGCGGCGAGGCTGTCCACGGTTGGTTGCCTACCCACGACAAGTGATTTTAAAGATGGAAGATGGAGTGAAGGAGGATTGGATAGCGTTAATTGGGTCCATGGAAGACAGGAAGGAGTGGGTATATGGACGTCTTCCCACTGCGATGAATGCCGGACCAGACCCTGGATGATGGCATTTGGGAAGTCATTGGATAACAGTATCGTCATCGAAAGCCCCTTGTGTCCAGTATGCCGAAGCGCGTCCATGAGCAGCCTTTCTCCGACGTCTTCTTTCCCGTGTTCAGGCCAATGAACCGAAAATGACGACCACAGAGCAGCGCAGCTCCATGCGGTGTCGCGCCATCGTCGGCAGACCCTTCCTAGTAGCCACGGTCCGCGATATAGATCTCCGAACATCCTGTAGGGCCTTGTGATGGCGAAGAGAAAGATTTCGGACAGAATTTCGGGGGGAAGAGAATCGATGGGTGGCTTCACCCGGTCTTGGATCGCAGGTTCAGCTGACATCGCGGTGAAGCACATATTACGATGATACTTTTCTCGTATTGATGCCTATCAAAGCAGGATGGAGGAAAGACATTGCTTATCGAACAGACGCCAGACCTAGTTCGTTTGCTCACCTGAATACTGACTGTCTCGATCGCCTGCCACCACTACCCTTTGCCTCTTTATCGGTATTGAATTTCAGGAAACGAGATCCGCCTTTATGTATCCCTTTGCCAGTAACGGAATTGCCGCCGCTTAGAAGAGATGGACGTTATTTCGAGAGAAATCGTCATCGAACGTTGATTGGTTCGGGGATCACGGCGGCCTTCGCCGACACGAACATAAAACCAATTCTTCGTCCAACTTGGTACTGTGAAGATCTCGCGCGTAAATATAATTTCATGGAAAGTACACCCTGGCCTCGGCATCTAGAAGCAGCCTCAGGATTTCTCCCGGCACTGTCTGTGATTCGACGCCATGGCCAGCGTAAAGGATGACAAGCCCCATGCGATGTCGCGCCATCGTCGACATACCTCTCCCGGCAGCCATGAAACTCGGTGCAGATCTTCAAGGCCCTTCGATTGAGGGAGGGGGGGGATGGAGATTCTTCGAGCAGGTCCCGTGTCTTCAAGAACCCAGTTTACGCTCCTCCAGAGTTTCGGATTGCTCTTGAAGCTGTTATTCAAGACAGCACATTCTACGCCAAAGGATCACATGTACGACTGGTTAAATATTTTCTATATATACGTCTACTTCTCGACGCGCTGACCCACTGACCGTCTGAGCCTGCACATGTCTCCTCGAAAATCAGGGACTAGAGAAGCGGAAGATGAAAGGTTTGAAATCAATTCTCGGGCCTACCTCTTGATGATCTCAGAGGGAATCAACATGTATGCTAACCGTTTCGTCGACAAAGACGCTGAAGGGGGTGTAAGACTATAGCGCATTAGACATCAGACGAACAAGTTTATCCGCGGTCTTCACGAAAAATTGTGGGTACCAGATGGGGTGGGGAAGATTGATTCAGGCTTGAGGGTGCCTACTGAAAGAAATTTAAAAAGCTAGCCTAGAGGATCTTATCCACTCTCTGACTGGGAGTTGAACCCAGCGGAGTACATTGCAGTGGCAGATGTGCTACTGCAGAGATGAACTTCTGGTGAGGGATTAGATATATAGTGCAGTTGAAGAATGACTGTGTCAGTGGGGTAAAGATGGATTATTTAAATACGACTGTTATGGGTTACCAGAGGACAGAGCCCAGGAGAAGGAACAGGGAGATGTACGCTTGCCCTGTTCTCGCAATGACGGTAATGCTAACAATATGGTTACAGCTTCATTATTTTGATTTAACAAGTACCGCCTGCATGGGCTAGCTATTTCCACGTGCCTGCTGGCAACAAACGAGCTAACGAATCCTGACGCATTGAACTCACAGACATACACAGTAATAAAGCGCAGCCACCGCCATGACAGGAACACGCTCTTTTCAATGGCGCACTGGCTTCGAGTCCGCAAACAAACTGACAGAACAAAGAACAGATCCAAACAAGCAATGTCTCCCGAGGGGATGGGTGGGTAATACTCGATTCCACTCAGTCAAATCCGTCCGTGACATTGAAGCAGGACCTCGGGCTGGGAGTATAACGGAAGTCATGAGCGGTGACGAGGTCATGTCCGCTAATTTCCAATTCAATTTATATGTGAGCAGAGTGAACTGTGAACATGAGAAGGGTATGGATTTGCAAAAGGAAATAATGTCACCATACTAAACCCTGAAGCAGGGAGTCGAACCTAGCGGAGGCGTGCATGTATACTAACCGATACACCACACAGGGTGCTTGTCTGAGAGACGTGTTCAAAGGCTTTTTTTAGTGAGGTATGTGTGACTGTTACACATCGGATTTTCCCTTCAGCCATGACGACGACGCGTCTAAACCCGCGCTCCCAAATTTGAACGCGCCCTGGCCGCCCGTTGACCTGGCATAAACTTCCAAGATCTCAGTTGTTATGGCTACAAACAGCAAGAAGGAAGTGTGCGCTGGGCAAGTCGACCCAGCTAACCAGGAACCTATCAGCAGAGGTGGGCACCAAAAAGGATTAGTAATTTTAAATAAAAGGTACACAATCTGGACAGATATCTTTTCATCTGGGAGTCGAACCCAGTGGGCTTTGCTTTGCATGACCATTACACTATGAGATATATGAAAGAGGAGAAATCATCATGTTATACACTGGTGGAGAATGACAAAAAGTTTGGGACAAGTCTTAGGAGAAATCCTGTATGGACCTCGGTGTAGTGCATAAGGCCTTTTGATGGCGAAGAGAAATATATCTCGGACGGAATTTCCCGCCGGGGCCGGGGGGATGGGAATCAATGGGTGAGCTTAGCAGCTCCTTGATCTCAGCTCAGCTGAGATTCTAGCGACAGTTTCTTTTTTTCTCTGTTGCTAAGCTGATCATTTCTTTCTACAAACTGGCTTTTGTCACCTTGAGCTCAGGCCAAGTTTTAACATTATCGGGATAGAGATTCTTCGAGCAGGTCTTGTGTCTCTTCAAGAACCCGGTCTACGCTCTTCAGATCGCACTTGTAGTTGTATGTCTTATTGCTCCATCTAATTATTCAAGGCAGCACATTCTATGCCGAAAGTTCACATGTGCGACTGGTTAAACATTTCTATATATACGTCTAATTCTCGGCGCGCTGGCCCACTGACCGTCCGAGCCTGCACATGTCCCCTCGAAAATCAGGAACCAGAGAAGCGGAAGATGAAAGGTTTGAAATCAACTCCCGGGCCTACCGCTTGACGATCTCTGAGAGGGAATCAAGATGTACACTAACCGTTTCGTCGACAGAGATGCTGAAGGGGGTAAGACGAGGGATGACTACGACTCAGGCAGATTGACCAATGGCAGAGTACAATACCTTTCTCGAATTATGCAATTTTCATGTCAAGCTATGACGTCTAATATGTTTGTATTTTGTCCCTCCTATGGATCTGAATGTCGATCCACAGATTGATGGACGAACGGATGGGCAATCTGCGGCTGTCGTTAGTCACTCATTATATTTTCCCTAGGTTCCTACCCATCGGTTCCATCCAGTATGAATCATAACCAAAGTTTTCATCTTGAAATGATGGTCCACGTCCTTCTGAGGAGATTCCAGTTGTTTGTGTCCAAGTGCTACCACGCCGAGTAAGAGTTATGATGATAGACATTATAATTGGTCAAATTGAATCTCACTCTGGGCTCCGTCAGATAGACTCTAATGCTACCAAAACCTAGCAAGGTGGTAGCCCTATTTTTTTTTTTTGCAATTTCACATATGTAACATCTCCATGCCAAAAAACATCCGTCTCCATTTTTCCGAGATGTCGATGAAGCCCTAGGTCCGATCTTCTGGGAGAGTGATCTCGACCTTTATTAGGGCAGAAGAAAGCAATTCAAAATTCTAGGTAAGTACTTATTGTGCAGTCTAGGCCCTTCATCCTTCAAGTAAGTGCTAACTTATCTGGGTCCATTCTGAAACCATTATGGATACCTAACTATGGATAGCCGTTGCACTTTTTCCACGTGGAACGGTCCCCCAAAACCAGAAAATCAAGACCCTAGCTTGCGCGATGAATCTGAGAATGAGCCTGATTGGAGCGAGGACTTACATCGGGAATTCCAGGCCCAAAGTGTAATTAGCTAGTATGGTGTTTCCTTTCCCATACCCTAAATGCTGGTACCTACGTTCGGAGCTCGGTATCGGGAAAAAGTACGAAAGATCATGATCGTTGACAAGCTAGGAGAGCCTAATGGCAAGGCAAAACCGACGAGCTAGCGAAGCAAATAGAGCCCTCCGAGAGCTGTATAATTGGTTAGGTCGGCATCAGTACTTGTACAGGCCATTGACTTACCTGGTGCTGCATGAACGGTGTAGGTATCGATGATATATGTTTGTATCGCTTGCCAGTTCACGGCGATGCCCATTCTATTTGTAGATAAGAATCAGGTTTCAGTCTCTTACAACCGTCAGTAAAATAAATCTTCACCCGGTGATAACAAGTCCCTGCTCAGGGCGCTGTAAGCTTTTGAAGTTCTCACGGGCAAAGACACTCACAATATCTGGGACAATCCAGTGCACTCCGCTTGACACAGTCCATCCTGGAAATGAAATATCCCCATAACGTCGTACAGAGTGCAAAGCTTCTGCCCTGACGCACCTGTAATGAACAATCCTATAGGCACGAACAGGGTGGCGGGCAGCATAATGGCTTCACAGTTGCTCGTAAGTAACAATGATGTACATAGTAACGGACGACACTTGCGAATTCGAAATTCAGGACGGCCTTCGGTCCCGTAGTGAGCGCTGAGGCGGAGATACAGTCCATCCAGGATCGCATTCGTGATTTGCGCTCCACTGTAAAGGCCAATTCCAAAGGCGATGTAATGCAATCCTGCAATTCCGATACTCTCGTGATATACAACGACGTATATATCAGGGATCGACGTCAGTATCACTGTAAACACGGTGAGAGAGATGTCCCAGAAAGTGAGAAGGTAGAGCATACGATAGACCAGCCCTAGATAATCAAGAGGAGTCAGTAAGCAATTAAACGAAACGTTCTCCCGCAATGTCCTACCGTATCTGAAGACAATCGATGAAATAATTAGCATATTATGACAGACGATGACATACACCTTACATATAGGCTAGATATATTCCTAGTAGCTGGGCCGTAGGTTCGGTTAGAAGTAAAACGACCGGGTAGAGTAGAAGCTTTTGGACGAGAGGCCCAGTAAGATAGAGGTCAGAAGTAATTCCCGGGTGTCAGTCATCGTGTACTTGATTGGATTCTGTTGATGTCTCGTAATATATCTGACATTCCCTTCCCCGCTGCTAGCATTTTGCAGCTTCCTTGCTTTTCGAGCCAGTAAATGGGGCGCAAAGGCCAGTGGCAACAATCTGAGTGAGATATAGCTACTTGGGCATCGCGCTTACTCTCTTTGAGCCAAAAGAAAGAGATGGCTTGGACGAAGACAGTAGCGATGGATATAGACCAGAACTGGAGAAAAGTAATGACTGGAAAAAAATCTAGGGATAAAGGTGATGCTCACAATTCATTTCCACGTCGTCTTCATGGCAATCCATGCGCCAGCGATCGGCCCAATGATTGGACCCAAGAGAGGCGCCAGGGCATATAAAGTCACTGCCCGACCACGTTCCTTGACGCTCCAGCAATCGTTAATGACTCCCCCACCGAGCTAATTAGAATTAACTAGGTACGGCTCGCCTATTGTGGCTCGCATACGCACGGCCAGCGGTGCACTTCCGCCAATACCAGCCAGGAAACGGAATGCCAGCATCTGACTAGGAGTCTTTGAAAATGCGCAGACAAAATTAAAGACCAAAATTAGCATATTAGACATCAGACGAACAAGTTTATTCGCGAGCTTCACGAAAAATTGTGGGTACCAGCTGGTGTGGGGAAGATTGATTCAGGTTTGAGGATGTCTACTGAAAGGAATTTAAAAAGATAATCTAGCCACTCCTTGCTCTACTCTCTGACTGGGAGTTGAACCCAGCATAGTACATTGCAGTGACAGATGTACTACTGCAGAGATGAACTTCTGGTGAGGGATTAGATATATAGTGCAGTTGAAGAATGACTGCGTCAGTGGGGTGAAGAAGGGTTATTTAAATATGACTGTTATGGGTTACCAGAGGACAGAGTCTAGGAGAAGGAACAGGGAGATGTACGCTTGTCATGTTCTCGCAATGCCGGTAATGCTAACAATATGGTTACAGCTTCATTATTTTGATTTAACGAGTACCGCCTGCATGGGCTAGCTATGTTCATGTGCCTGCTGGTAACAAGTCCCTTGGACATTGGAAACGTGCTAACGAACCTGATTGAGCTCATTGATATACACAGCGATAGAAGGCAGCAACCACCATGACAGAAACACGCGCTCTTTTCAATGGCCCCGGGTTCAAGTCCGCAAACAAACTGACGAAAAAAGAACAATTCCAAACAAGCAATGTTTCCTGAGTGGGTGGGCAGTACTCGATTCTACTCATCAAAGCCGATGTTGAAGCAGGACCTAGGGCTAGGAGTATAACAGAAGTCATGAGCGGCCTGCGCTACATCCAATTCAATTATACGTGAGCGGCATGAACTGTGAACATGAGAAGGATATGGATTTGCAAAAAGAAACATTGATACCATCCTAAACCCTGTAGCTGGGAGTCGAACCTAGCGGAGACGTGCATGTATACTAATCGATACACCACACAGGGCGCTTGTCTGAGAGATGTGTTCAAAGGCTTGTTGTAGCGAGGGATGATAATTTTCATCGCCGGATACGCAGGCAAGAAACTGATAATTAGGGAAGAGAGTGAGTGACGTATAGTGTGACCATGACGACAACGTGTCTAAACCGGCGCTCCCTCCGAATAAGCCAGACAGCAGCCTAAGTCAATCTTGCTAAACATGTCTTGTCTATGCCTGCTTGAGTTTGAGAGGAGAGGCTGGATGTCAATGATGGATTGGAGAGACTGGAGTTGCATGACATGGATGTGAGAGGTTGGGGTCAAACAAACATTGTTTGGTTGCCACAGCTCTCTCATGCGGGCCCCCAAAGGGAAGCCATGCTCAAGCCACCATGGGTATGATATGGAGATCCAGCAGATTGGAAGAAGGAGTATGAGGCATAGCCATATGAAGTCTAGTAGACAGGTGGATGATGCAATCATAGGGAACATCAATATATAGCTTGTATGCATTGCTGCATTAACATCATAAGAGCTGAATTTCTTAGTTGGAAAATCCCATGATAGCAGCAGAGGATGCAGCACCATGGCAGAAACTGTGACTAGAGAATTTCAACAAGTCAATGTCTAAAACTGTCAGATGAGTTTTGAGAGTCTGTATGAAGGTGTTATGATGAAGTGGGTTGACATTTGCATCTGCAAACAGTGGTGGCCACCTGTCTAGAGGGTGTATGGTAAAGAGATTATGCAATGCATAGACTGTGCATGTGGAAGAGCCTGGTGACCCTGAGATTAGGATGGTAACACCTTTTTGAAAAGAGTCTGTCTTTGATGAAGGAAGGGCTAATGTCAGATGACAATCAAACAATCACAAATGCAATGCACTGCAACAGCCAGAGTCCAACACTAACTGAAGGTAAAGCAGAAGGATGAGGGTAATGATATTTAGAATGATGATAAGAGAAGGGAGGTATAGAGGTTGATAGACTATGACTGCCAGTGTTGGTACTGAAGTGGTAGTCACACTAAGAGTTTAGGAGTTTGATCAGTATATTGACCTTAGCTTGAGACTGGAGCATATCTCTGTATACTACTGACTTATATACTGTATAGAAATGTGTCTCAGTGCCTCAAACCCAGCCAAGACAGCTGAGCATGATCAGTCTCTGATTAAGCCACAAGCCAAGGCAGCTAGGCACAATTTAGAGGCTAAAATCATAACATTACCTTCTCTTCAAGGCAATTATCCTCAGTTGATCAGAAGAGCTCTGAAAACAAGGTGATAGCTTTGTCTTTCCTATTGATCCCTACTGAGATGTTGCATGTCTGGTCTAAGGAAAATAATTGGACTATGAGTGTCTCTACTTTGATTTCATTGGTGTCTTTTCACATGTAAAGCTTCTTGGCTTTGAATGGGTGTTGTTTGAGTTCAAAGAAGAGCTTTTGAGTTCTGATGTAGTCTGGCTTGTCAAACATCAGTCATCCAAGCCTGACATTGTTCATTGCAGCAAGTGGGTTTTGTGGTGCACAGTACTTTGCAATGAGCCTTTTTGCATGTGGGAGATTCTTTTTAGCATATTATTAGTTCTCCTCATTATCATATCCCTTGAAATAGACAAGAAACCATTGTTTTTGATAATGAATTTTATCATTAAGAATCACATCAATCTCATATTTATCATCATCTATGACTATTGGTTTGAGTGGTGGTGGCACTCTCTGATTGGAAAACTCTGCTGTTTAGAACAGTTTAAGGAGGGTTTTGTTAAAGACAGGATGAATTTTCCATGTCTTTGAGATAGCTAATTCATATGCTCTATTGCCTATTTTCTTCACAATCTTGAAGGGACCTTTGAACTTGTTATCCAACTTCTTCATCTTTCTGTCTGTCTTTAGATTCTTCATGTTAAGCATAACCATGTCACTTAGCTGAGAGTCTCTTGCCAATGTCCTTCCCTTATCATACTGTCTCTTCATAGACTCTACTGTCTTGTGTAATACATGTTCAGCCTCATCATGAATTTTCTTTATCTCTGTGCTAAAGTTCTTTGTTCAGGGTACTTAGCTTTCCCTTTGTGAGGGGTTTATTCCAGTATTCAGATGGATTCCAGTGTTTACATAGAATAGGCTATAGTCTGTTGAGGAATTTTCATAATTATTATAAGCAAATTCTACTATTGGGAGCCACTTCACCCAGTCATCTTATTGGTGGTTTATGAAAATCCTGAGGTACTTTTCAATTTTTTGATTGACTCACTCTGTCTGTCTATCAGTCTGAGGATAATATGCTGTGGAGAGATTTCCAGTGACTTTGAGCAACTTGTAAAGTTCTTTGATAAACTGCAATATGAACTGTGAGCCACAATCTGAGATTATCTTGTTAGGAAGTCCATGATGGGTGTATACATGATCTCAGAATAAACATGCTCAGCCCTCAGCATTTAAATTTGTGTTTGTCACAATCAGAATTAATTCTTTGAAAAATTGATCTACCACTGCTGAGACAGCATCATACCCCTTGGACTCAGAAAGAGGCTCTATTATGTTGACTGAGATTATTTTCCACTTATCAGAAGGGATTTCATTGAGGTGTAGTGGTGCTGCTTGCTGCTGAGTGTTTGGTTTCACCCTCCAACATGTCTTGCATCCTTTGACATATGCTTCCACTGACTGCCTGAGATTAGGCTACCAATAATTGCATGTGACTAATTCTTGTGTCTTAGCAATTTCTGGATGATCTGCCATTGCATGATCATAGTATATTACAATGATTTCTCATATAGCTTTTTGTTGGCAGGAATGTACAGTCAGTCATAAAAATAGCACACCTCCTTTTCAAGAGTCCATCCATTCTCCTTCTTATCAAGTGCCAGCTGTACCATCTCCTTCACTGACTTCTTCTCTCTGTAAACCTTCTTCAGGGTTTATAAGGCTATGGGAAAAATCACTACATTTATATAGAATAACTCTGGCTTGAGAATGACAATTTCTTCATTACCATTTCCTCTCTGATTTGTTAGCCAAACAAGCCAATGCACCAAAATTATACTGGTGAACTGACTTTACCTATGCATATAAAGTCATATTGATACTCAAAGATTCTATATTATGTACTTAGCTATAATTATGAGACAACAGTAGAACTTACTAGAATACTTGTAGAGATACAGTTGACTATCTCACAATGCATAATGTCAAAATGCATAGTTCTGATGTTGTATACAGATTGGACTGGAATGCAGTTGGAGAGCAGAAAAATAGGCAGAAATGCATATCATATAATATATATAGTTTTAGTTAAGAATATACATTGTCAGATCCAAAATTGAAGATGAGCATGGATAACTGCTGTGCACCCACCACACCATAGACCATATCCAGCACAGCCAGCACCCAAGACATGCTCACAAAACACCCCAGGCTTCAGCCAACCACAGGATCAAATGAACCAATTAGCCCACCACAAGGGCACAAAATACCATACATGTCTGTTACTCTACTCCACACTACATGCCAAAACACCTGGAGAACTCAGAAGGAAGAATGGAGGGACTGGAACAAGAGGGAAAGAGGATCCTGAGGCCCTGTACCTCCACTGCATCTTAGTAGTTAGCTTACTTGTTGCAGTTAATCAAATGCTGAGGACAAAAAAAAAAAAAAGATCCAAAATTATAGTAAGCCAATATGATATTATGCATATATTAGAACAATGAAGAACATAATTTATATAAACTATGACAAACACAAAAAAAAATTATTGTAAAGTAGTGCAGCCTATATCTCTATAAATATATCTTCTAAACTAATGCAAAAACCACATGCTAAACCTGAAAATCCATATGAGCACACAAAACAGAAGAAGAAAGTCCTGATATACATATCATTGGCTCAGCCTCCAAAGCAGATCTCCCACTCACACCTCACAACAGAAGACTGGCTCATAGTATTCAAACATGTTGATGATTATCCTTTCCATTGACATGCTGACATTGTGACACATTTTACAAACAAAAAGAAAGGTGCACTGCTCTTTATCCAACCAAATCTTTCATGGAAACTAGCATCTCATACAGAAATCAAACAGCATACAAATGAGAACCCTAATGCACTATCATTCAAAAAGTTTTACATTATCATCTGATCTGAAGTGGAGTATACTGTTGCATCCTGGTATCAGAATATGCAGCTCTAAGATGAGACTGTGACTAATGCAATGCTGATAGAGAAGTAAAATTAGATTGAAAATCTAATAGATATTTCAGAAGATTAGTGTTTGAAAGGAGAGAGATGGTTGAGATCATTCTGCAAGGCATGAAAGATTCAGAAGGTTCAGTGGCATAGAGAAGCAGGCTCAGTAGATATGGTAGTAGTGGAAAAAGAACATGTGCATCTTCACAGCATTATGGTGAAATATGTGATGCAGGACAGATGGTATATTGATGAATCCAGTCTTATCATCTTTGCCATTCCAGATTGTATCTTGGCATTTGGTCCTATGAGTGGATGGAAACAGGACAAGTTCTGTATCACTATGTGTTTTGCTATGAATGCAGATAGAGGTGAGCAGATGCCAGTTGTTTTTATTGAAAAGTCAAAGCAACTATAGTGTTTTAAGAAAAAGAGTCTCACAGCAATAGAATTCTATTATTAGAATAATCAGAAGGCCTGAATGATGAGCAAACTATTTACAGAGTGGGTGAAGATGTTTGATTTAAAGATGAAGAAGGAGATGTGGCAGATTCTGTTGATCTTGGACAACTTTTGAGAGCATTTCATTGCTTATACACTCTATAACACAAAGCTGGAGTTTTTCAAGTCCAACATGACTCTATATGTCCAGCTGCTCAATGCTGGTACTATCTGCTGCTTCAAGGCATATTATTAGAATACTATATGTATCCATGCACTTGATCTCAATGATCTTGGAGAGTTTGAGATCTTCAAGCTTGATCTTCTTGAAGCTATGACTATTGTTCATGATGCTTGGGCAAATGTCAGCAGTGAAATAATAGCAAACTGCTAGAAACACACTGGTATAATTTCTGATAATGCATCTGAGTCATAGTCCATCACACCATCCAATGATTTCTAAGGCACCTCACTTCT